CTGTACTGGCGACTTCGTCCGCGTGGAATTAAACTTTATAAATATAAAGTAAAACTTAATTAAAAGTTTTTTTCTGAAGTCAAAGTAGCCTAAGTTACTCCTTATTATATCAGCTCCCTGCCAATAAAACTCCCGTCAAAATTGGATCAGCCATTTCCGAGATTAGCCGGAATAAATAGACAGACAGACAGACAGACAGACAAAAATGGTAAAAAATGTTATTTTGTTGTATGTACCGTATTTATATTCATGTGCATGTAGTAAAAACGGTTATTTCAATATTTCCAACAGACACCTCAATTTTATTTATATGTATAGATTAAATTACAAAATCAATCACTTCTAATTTTAACTGACACACAATCAGCAAGTAAAATTGTCCCGTCTCGTCCATCCGTCAATCCATAACACCTTATGTACCGGAAGTTCATTTGATTAATTAATATATACCTATTGTCTTAATGATATTATAAACGCGAAAGTATGTGAGTATGGATATATGTTTGTTACTCTTTCACGCGAAAATTACTGAACGGATTTTGATGAAACTTTACAGTAACATAGCTTATGCTTCAGCATAACATATAGCCTATATTTTTTATTTGAAATTTGTATATTGATATTTAACGCGGCTGAAACCGCGGGCACAGCTAGTAATATATATTGTTATGTTTAATTCCACTACTTATGATACCACAAATACTGTATACACAGGATGTAATCAATAAATGAAACCTACACTATATTTATAAACCATATAAGTACTTAGTTTATTGTACAATGTTTAAATATAAAAATAAACTTAAAAGGATGACAAAATAAATCTCGGAAATCTCTGCACTTATCCTAAATAACAATAAATTGTACAAATCGCATGTACGTAATGACTCGGCTATGAGCACAGATTAAATAATAGTACGACTTCCTGTAGTTTTATGGCCGAACATAAAAATTATCTCGACTTTAAATACTTAGTACTTATGTCGTTTTTACATGCCTGCCACTATGATTACAGGTGGTATGCACTTAATAGTAGATATTCTGTAATAAACAACAATATACCGTTACGATTGTTATCCCAGAAGTCGCTGGCAGACCTAATAAAACAATATATTTAATATAAAACTCTCGTGTCAGTTTTTTTGACTACTCTAATTCTGTTTACCGCAGCTGGTCTTTACAGCAGCACTGGGCTATAGAGGGCGAGTGCAGAGGGTACTTCAAACCCGCAGAAGGACTTATAGAGCGGCTGAAGGCCAACTGATTGAAAATCAGTGGTTTGCTGCTTGTATAATAATAGTAATAATAATCTCAGGACAATTCACACAGCGCCATCTAGACCCAAGTTACGCTTGTGTTATGGGTACTAGATAACTTATACAAATACATAGATAATTTTTTTATCGTAAATACATACATATTATACATAGAAAACACCCAGACCGATACAAACAATCATACTCATGAATACAAATGTTTGTGCCGTGCAAGGAATCGAACCCGCGACCATCGGACGTAAAGCGGTGTGCTAGACCGCTAGACCACCGAGGTCGTCGCTGCAAACAATAACAATGAGGTGCTGCCTTTTTGCGTATAGCCTATGCACACACACTACGTCACTAACACTGTTTTTTTGTATCTGTATTTATCTGTATTGTATTTTGTTTACTGACTGATGTAATTGAGTATCTACTTTTTATTTCAGTTGTTAATATTACAGTGCCTTATGTGTGTGTGTCTTTAATATAAATAAATATTTATCTAAAACTTTCGCCTGATGGATTCGTATGCGTTATTAGTCGAGTTAGCCTTCAGACTAAAGTCATCTTTAGTCTGAGGGCACTGCTAGAGCTTCGAGCCTGGTCTCAGGCCAACTTAATATTAATCCCCGTTTGAATTAGACGGGGGATTAATCAGAGGGGCGACCGGGGGCGCCGGTACAGAGTGAGAGTACAGGAGCGCGCAGGCGCGGGCGTCCGGTTGAGACCTATCGGCTAAATCAGATTAATAAACAAAACACAATATAAAATTTGTAAAACTTTAAAATTATCTACTTATGTATACTAATATTATAAATAGATAAAGTTGCTGAGCTCCTATGTTCGGCGTAATCTCCGATACAAGAAATTTGGAGTTCATAAGCGGCTAAAATGTCCTACATGATTTTTTATTTTTGACATTTGTACTAGTTCGATTTAAAAAATTACTTTAACACTAAATAGCCCATTTATCAAGAAATGCTATATGGCTATACAATATCACGCTATGACCAATAAATTACTCCAATTTTGAAATTAATTTTAACATTAGATAGCCCATTTATCGAGGAATGCTATACAATATCATGATACGACCAATAAAATCGAAGCTACAATGAAAAATGTTACAAAATCTACCACATGCCATGCAGGATAGATGCGGGATAGTGTTATTTGCAGATGATACTTCATTGATTTTTAAAGTTAATAGAATGACTAATAATTATGACGATGTAAATAGTGCTTTGCGGCGTCTCCTGCACTGGTTTACAACTAACAATCTTATGTTAAACGCTAAAAAAACAAAATATGTTAATTTCTCTCTGTCTAAAAGTTTTAATACTAATTGCTACATAACATTAAATGACGAATCTCTCGAATTTATAGAATCTACTGTCTTTTTAGGAATAAAACACAATGGGGTGCACAAATTCAAAGTCTTGCAGCGAAACTGAGTTCAGCAGCTTTTGCTGTGCGTAAGGTTAGACAGTACACTGATACTGATACTGCTAGATCGGTCTATTTTAGTTATTTTCATAGTTTACTCTCTTATGGAATATTATTATGGGGCAGATATTAAAAATCGAAAAGCGGCTGATATTAAAAATATTCATAATATTAATACTAGATTTAAAGACAAACTTGCTGTCCCCAAGTATGGTTTAGAAAAAGTCAATAGATCTTTTATGGGAATAGGTATAAAAATTTACAATAAGATACCAAAGGATATATTGGAATTACCCTTAAGTAAATTCAAAACATCTGTTAAATCGTATTTACTGAGCAAGGCCTATTACTCGCTAAACGATTACTTGAATGACGAGCGTGCATGGCAATAGTTTTCAAGTTCGGGATTTTCATTTAATGTTAGACATAGACACCTATATAAATACCTATGCATTATAAATAAACTGGATTAAAAAAAAAAGTAATTCAATTGAGTTTCTTGCCAGTTCTTCTCAATTGGATCTATATACCGAACTGGACGGTAGGGAAAAAAAATATAATGTAAAAACTTGACGTTCATAAGCGGCTAAAATGTCCTACATGAATAAATGATTTTTGAATTTGAATTTGAATTTGAAAAAAGAGATAAAATGAGATACAGATGAAATCACGCGACATATAAATAATGTTGAAGTCTTTGACTACCTAGGCTAACAAGCGTAAAGATATATTTTTATATAGACGTTGTATACATGTATCATTTCAACCACAGGAAAGAATTATAGCAAAATTAATCATTATAATAATAGGCCTAACAAACAGTTTATGGTTGTATTATATAGGTATATTTATCAAACCGTACATAAATGTTCTTTTGCCATTATTATTTTGCCAATTTATTGTAATACTATAGATATAGCTACGCGCTCCGGCTTCGCACGGGTGTACATGTGTTATACATACAAACCTTCCTCTTGATTCACTCTATCTATTGTTAAAAACTGCATTAGTACCCGTTGCATAGATTAAACGATCCAAGCGAACATACAGCGGAAGCGATTTAATTTTATACTATGTAAAGATTATTCTCTTACTGTTATATGTTTAAAAAGATGAAATTTTCTGTGTAACGTAAACATAATGTAAATTGTATACTCTTAGAATAGAATAGAATACATCTATTTGTATCGATTTTATAAAGATTATAAAATAAAAACAAAATATAATTCATATTCCCAAGACAATTCACGCAGCGCCATCTAGTCCCAAACTAAGAAGAAAAATGTAGATATATTTTTTTTAAATGAATATAGAATACACCCAGACAAACAATCTTACTCATAAATACAAATGTTTTCATAATTGTGTTTTTACATTCATTTACCTGGACATATTACCATCGTCTATTTTGTAAATAAATGCATTTCATTTCATCCTGCGAGTAATCGAACCCGCGACGATTGGAAGTTTAGCGGTGTGCTAAACCGCTAGACCACCGTGGCCGTCAATGATCTATTTAATACAATATAAATTACATCAAATATATTAATACTCGTTTGCCTGGACATTTACCATCGTCTAACTGGTTTCTGCAAATAAATTAATTTCTTTCATCGTGCGAGGAATCGAACCTGCGACCGTTGGGACTAAAGCGGTATGCTACACCGCTAGACCATCAAGGTCATCAGTAATATATTCAATACAATATACATTACATTGGATTGTAGTCAACATTGTCCTTAATTATGTCCGTTGATTGACCGCTATTATGTTTATACGAAATACATTATAGCTAATATTATTGGTAGCTACCTATATAAAAGAGATCTGTTTTGTTAGATAATTCAGTACTTTTATGTACATCACATATAATAACAATGTTTTCGTATTTAATATTCATATTATGTTCTCTACTAGCAGTTTATGTAAGTTTCACCTTTTTTTATTTACGACCTAGATTTATTAATCCGCCTTAAACTTAAATATCGTGATATCGAATCTGGACTACAATAAAAAAATGTATATTATCACTTTTCTGACTACCTCTGTGACGATGATAACACCGATAACAATGACAGTGGTATACAGGCATGTTAAGTGTTGCATTCGATCACTTTTAAATCCTTATGATAACTAGAAATATTCGTGTGTTTATTATTTTTGTGGAATAATCCATACTAATATTATGAATTCAAAATTATCTGAATACACAAAGATTTATTGAATTATTTGAATGGGAACGAAAACTGTGACACGAGAATTTTATATATAACATATATTTATTAAAAACAGGCTAGAACACCAGAAGAAATAAAATCTTGGTTCATGCAGCAAGGTATGACTTGCAACAGTGAACACCCCATCACCCCTGAACAGATGATGATGCTGCAGCGACACAAGATACCGGAGAGCGAAAATGTCAAGTGTTTAATGGCCTGCGTTTTTAGGAAAGCTCAATGGGTGAATTTTTTTTTGTAGCCTTTTTTATTAGGGGTTTTAGGCTATCCTGCGTATTTTGGAAAGCTCAATGGGTGAATTTCTCTTAATATTTTTTTTTATTAGGAGCTGTTGTCAAGTAACTTATCCAGCACCGGAATTATATCAATTTTTTTTGAGACGGGGCATAAAATGCCACTAACACTACCCCCGATCTTTCCCTTCGTCCAACATTTTTACAATATAATTATTAATTACTAATACTGTCAATTATTGTGGCTTAACAGTTATATCTTTATTTTCAAATGCATTGAACACAAATAATTTACTTGACGTCTGTCTGCCAGTGGTCAACCATAACATACCTATATCACGAACGTAAAAAAAATTAAGAATTCACAAATGCGCACACAGGAATAAAACATAAGCCAAAATGATGTTGCCACAAAGAAAGCGACAGATATTACTTTAAAATACTAAAATAAACACAAGTTGTGCTTAGTTTGGGACTAGATGGCGCTGTGTGAATTGCCCTGAGATATTATAATATGTAAATGTAAGTAATTAGTGTATTTATTGTATTAAAAAGTAGGTCAATTCTATTAATGTATGTACGTATTTATGTGTATTATCTCACTCTGCACATCCCAAAGGTTGACTGGGAGAGAATGCTATAGCATTAAGTCCCCCTTTTGTACCAATTATAGTGGTCAATAAAGCAAACAAATAAATAAAATAAATTATTATCAGGTACTACAGCTCTAATACATCATTAGATAGAAATAGAATAGAATAGAATAGAAAATCATTTATTCAAATAAACTTAATTTAAGCACTTTTGAATAGTCATAACAATTTGTTTTGAAATAAATTATTTTTCAGCTAACTGATTCAGGCACATTCGACGTGGATAAAGCGAAAGCGCTCGCCAACGAGGAATTCTCAAATGATGCCACCAAAGCAGAAAACTCTAATAAATTGTTCGACGAATGCAAGTCTGGTAAGAATTTTTTTTTATACTACGATGGTGGCAATCGCTTGATTGATACGGCCCATCTGATGGTAAATGGTTACCGTAGCCTATGAAAAGAATATTGAACTATTTTGTATAACCTAACATAAATTTATATATTTTATTATGTATATAGTAAAAAAAGTTTTAGAAATCTATGTATATAGATATATTTTTCTTCACGGATGATAATGGTATGGTGCACCCGCCTACACTAGCGGGGCACAAGTGGAGCATGATAAAATGAACATGAGGTCAGGTTAGCTATAGCCTATCGTGGTAAATACACTATGAATTCATAACGATGGTTTGAGGAGGAATCAGGGTAGGCCAGCCTGACATGGTACATTGCCAGCAATAAAGTTTTTAGTCCACATTAATTGTTAGTAATATGGACTAAATGTCCTATTACTAGCTAATGGGAGAAGGGATTCTCTCCATGCTCTCAAAAGATAACGCCTGAGTAGTTTTTATTCTATTCTTATGCTGTTGGCCGCAGCTGGCCTTTACAGCTTCACCGGACGATTGCGAGTGCAGATGGCACTCCAAACCGGCAGGACTTATGCAGAGGCTAAAGGTCAACTCCTGCTCGACGGACACGAACTAAGTCTGAGCACTACTGGGGTTCGAACCTCAGCTCAAGCCGTTGTAATTTCGATCCCCTTTTGAACTGGACGGGGGATCGATTCAGGGAGAATCTCTTGGTCAATTTGACGTGGCACATTGCTAGCAATAGGGTCATTTATCGGTCAATATGTCGCTATAATTCGATAGTGAGGAATCACTGTATCAAAAAATCGTCTACTATATAAAACTCTCATTTGGTAACAACCCCTCGTGTTTGTTACCAAACTCCTCCGAAACCGCTTTACCGATTTTTATGAAATTTTGTATACATATCGTGTAGGACTGAGATTCGGAATTCTATTTTTCATAACCCTCAATGATAGATAGATAAAGATAGATAATTTTATGATTCGGCATTAAAAATATGTATTTTTAATGCCAAATAAATAGCAACTCTAAATTTTCTCCCTTCTACCACAGATGACATAATATTACATAATTCTACGCGCAAACGTTGTTTTGGCATATAGTGTTAAGACAGAAGAAAATGTGATAAACAACTTGGAATAAAACACTTATTTTGCATTTTTTTCGACACTGTGCACTTGTGAACCACTAAACACACGGCGACTGATAAGTCTCATGGTGGCGCGTCGCACGATGATTGAAAGAGCGTGATTGATCAATTTGAACTGTAAATTTTGGTGGGTACCCCGTCTTACCCACTACCCCTCCATCTTACCTCCATCGCCCCTAACTTAAAATAGATTTAAGTTATATGCCAAAACAACGTTTGGCAGTTAAGTAAACGTTGTTCATTTAAGTAATCTTACTAACATTATAAACGCAAGGGTTTTATGAATGGATTGTTACTTTTTCACGCAAAAACTACTGAACGTATTTTGATGAAACTTTACAGTTCATAGCTTAGACATCAAAATAACATATAGGCTATAATTTAAAAAGATATGATAATTGGGCGAAATGTAATGATAAATGTCAATCAGTGTGATGATTACATATATAAAAAAATCATATTGTTTCCAGTGAACGATAAGCCGGCAGCGGATGGTGCGACTGGATGTGAACGCTCTTACCTAATATCACAGTGTCTAATTGAGAACTCTCCTAAGGTAATTCATTTTTGACTGTGATTATGAGTTAGGTGACGGTCAGTGGTCTAGCGGTTTAGCACTCTGCTTTATTTCCGATGGTCCCTGGTTCGATTCCTAACACGATGAGTATGAGTTTTTCTATCGATCTGGATGTTTTCTATGTACATTATTTATGTATTTACAAAAAAAATGTTTCTAAGTATTCATATCAGTTGTGTAGGACCCATAACAGCGGCATCAATATACGCTCTGATTAGATAGGACTAGACGGCGCTGTGTGTTATTCTAAAGATATTAAAATTATAGTTCAAAATAAATATAAAGAATAGTTTGTAAATACATAAATAATGTATGTATTAAGAAAGTAAACGTATCTAAGTATATTTTGAATCGTAGCCGCGGCCGTCGAAGGAACAGCGCTGTAGTACAGCGCTGTTCATTCAGTTTTCAGTTTTCAGTTCACAGCTTGATCACCGAGAATATTCATTAAAAAAATTCTTTAAGGGTTTTATATTTCGAATTAACAATTGTCTACTATTTTTTTCCAGTTCGGATTCGATTTACAACATATACACATGTAAGTGTTCATGAAATTAGAAGCTCCACATAGTTATGAGTTTAGTGTGTTTAAATAAATTATTTTAATATAACAACAGTATTTTATATTAGACAATCCTAAAATATTATTTTTTATCAATAAATTAAATAAAGTACAAACAAAAACTTAAATTTTATCAAACATATTTATTTTTAATTATACAAATTACTACATGAAATTGCTACATATGTTACAATGTTTTGCCTTATTGTATTTTCATATACGATACAAACGCATAGCTACTAGTTTATTATATAAAAAACTAGTTGTGCTGACAGATAGACAGACAGACATTCTTCTTTTAATATGTAGATATTACAATCGATCGACTCGATACAATTTAAACAGTATTGATTTTTAAAGTAGGAATCTATTTATAAATATACAAAATCTTTACAGTAGAAAAATACACAAAACTACATAGAACAAATTTCTGCCACAGATAGATACGTTTTTGAACAAATTTTGGTATCGTATATAAACCTACCTACCTACTTAAATAATAAAAAAAACAACAAATGTGCTATTACACTGTGAAATGAAAACGGAAAGTGACTAGTGCAAAATACCAACAAAACACAACCGAAAGAAAATACCAATTATATTTTTAATTATATTTATCAGTAATTTTACAACACAACAAATTATAAAAAAAAAAGTTTCAACAACAAAATTTACCGTTTAGAGCATTTAACCAAAATTAAAATAAAAGCACTTTTACAATTTATTAGATACCGTTTATAGTAAAATGGAATAATTATATTGTAGCTCTATTTGTGCAAGGTATTGGCAAAGAAATATTATTTATTACAAGATTGCAGTTATTACAAAATATTGTTTTTATTTCAACATTTCAAGATTTGATAACTGACAGTTAAGCATTGTATTATATTTACTCAGATGAGTAAATACTTACTATAAATGAGTAAAAACCAAACAAAAATGAGTAAATACTCAATAAATCCAGATGAATATTGAAACCGTTATAAGTGAGTAAATAGCATTTATTCATTTCTACAGAGTTTTACTCAATCACAGGGAAATATTGCAGAACCCAACACTATGCATATATAGCTATTAAAATTAGAACTCAGGGTCTTATGAAAAGAAATTAAATATACAAATTTTGAATTTCTAAGAACAATATCACAAAAACCAAATTAAACACAATGAATATTCATTCAACCTACAATTCATTCACTCTTATTTTTAATTAATTAATGTATGGTTATATCACTATAATAACAACATATATATATTTATGAAAATATATTGAAAAACGCCAAAATAGTATTAATTTTCATAAAAAGTAAATCAAATTACACTCACAAATAACAAAACACAGTATGTTCTATCACTTTCTTTCATATTGACAAAATAACTTGAAGCAAAAGGACAAATGTAATGTGTTTAATAATAGGGCGACTTCGATTATTATATATTTGAGCTGATATATTAAATAATACAGTAAATTAAAATACCCCATTTCACAAAATACATCTTACTAATATTAGAAACGCGGATGTTTGTGAATGATGGATGAATTGTTACTCATTCATACAATAACTACTGAATGGATGTTGATGAAACTGTACAGTAATATAGCTTACACATCAGAATAACACATAGGTTATAAACTTAGCGCGCATGAAACCGCGGGTACAGCTAGTAAATAATAAAACAACTTCATATGCATAGTAATCTAAATGATATATATGTATTATCAAATATTATTTTATTTCTATATTTTTAAGAAAATATTTTGGTCCTATAAGGTTTATGATAGTAAAAAATCTAAGGGTAGTTACAGATATGCAAGTATACAATATTGTTATAATAATATATAATTTATACAAAAATAACATTACAATATTTAATTACAGTAGGCGTATTTTCGATTAATATTAAAAAGGTATACATTAACTTTGTAAGCAAAAACAATATTCTTCATACAATTATATTCTTCTTCTATTCTTCATACAGTAGACCATCATAGTTGTCTCTAGCTTTTAATTTATTAAAAAAAAACATTTCAAATGTACCACATTCATTAGGAATTTATTTAAAAAACTATTCTTTAAAGTGGTTTTCTTAAACATTTTGGCATGTCATGGCAATACCGCGTACTTGCTATCAATCTTGTTTGAAACCGATTGCAATTGACAGGTTAGGGATTATGGATGTAGTATTTCATTGTTAATTACAAATATGCCACTATTTGTAATTGAGTGCCACAATTTGTAAACAAACAACTGCCAATTCGTGCACGCTGTCAATTTCAATCAATTGGAAGTGAGAATTGTTAGCAACATTAGATCATCAAGCTGCTAGTTTCATCATAAACCTTTCATTCTTCACTAGTGACCCGCCAGCGGATATATTGGCACAGGCGGTCTCACTCTTACATCATATACAACAAAATAGTACCACGATATATGTTTTAAGTATTTAATATAGAAATATGCATTCACCCTTAATACAATACTGCACTAACTGAAAAGTACTAATATTGGAAAATCGAGTCTATACTATTAACTTTAAAATCTATTTTTGAAAATGTGTAACCTCTGTCTTAATACAGCATAGTATTAAGAGTGTGATATGTAATGCTAAAGTCTTGTTCACTAGGCCCTAAGTATTTAGTAATTTACTTAATATAACATAGAATAAACGGCTACACAGCAATCCATCGTACAATGTTCTTGTACAGCCAAAAACCGTACTAGATAAAGACAAATTACGAGGAGCTCTGTCGCCAAGGACAGCGAAGAGATACCATCACAAAAGCCACGACCACTCTGTCAAGAGAGAACGACTGAACAAGAAACATGGAATAGACAAGTAGATGACTAAAAAGGCATAGACAATTTGCAAGCTAAAGAATCAGTACCACACACACAATTAAATTAAATATAAATAACCCTAGGGTTTTGTCAACAAACAATGTATTACAGCTTAGTCCTACGCCATGAAAACGCATGAGTGGTATCAGGGCGTCACATGTTCATGTGAAGTTATATGGTGTTCATATATATAGGCGACGGTTACCACTTACCATCAGGTTGACTGTCACATTTACCACTTGTGAGTTTACCATTCCATATTAGAAAAAACTCCAAATGAAAGCTCGAAACTTATCTTCGTAATGACGAATTGACAATTGTGTATGCGTCCTTTTCTAACACATCAATTTCTCCATAAACCAAAATATGTCAAACATACAGAGTTCAGTTGTTATTTTAAACATGATTCTACGCTAGTTGTTGTTCTTAGGAATCGCGCGTGAGATAGAACGAGACAGCAAGGCTTGGTATCTCGATCATTCTCATGAGTGCAGTCTGATGCCTTAATAGAATCATTTCCCTCTTATCCAGACTATTTTATAAGTAAAAATAACAAAAAATAGTATAACTTATAAAGGTGAGGTATATAATGTACTTATTATATTTCAACTTTTAACTTAATTCAGTAAAATAACGTTTAATGCTGTTAGTTACATATGAAAATATGAACTTACTAATATTATAACTGCGTAAATTTGTTAGTAAGGATGGTTGTTTTTTACTCTTTCACGCATAAACTACTGAATGAATTTTAATGAAACTTTACAATAATATAGATACATCAGGATAACATATAGGCTATAAAATTCACGCGGGTGAAACCGCGGTACAGCTAGTAGAACATAATATACATGTGAGTTCGTCTGTCTCGCTTAGTTCTGCCAATAAGCATGATGCTTTATGATCTGTGCATGGAAGGTTGAGACATGGCAGTAAAACAGTACAGAGGCAAGATTTTACCCTCTAGAATGGTAACGCATGAGTGGTAACATCGGTGTCATATGTTTATAAGGCTGTGCTAGATGGTAGTTGTTTACCACTACGTGAGCCGTCATCTTATTTACCATTCAAAATTATGTATTTTGAATGGTAAATAAGCATAAAAAATATCTTGTGCGATTGTTACCTCCATTTTAATATTACGTAATAAATTGAATTGACAATAAAAATTGTGTATATTCGTATGTCACCTGTATCCTGGTATTTCTGAGCAATGGACACGGTTTTACCTCTCGTACAATTAAAAATTAAACGTTTAATATCAAGAGGAACCCAAAGTATAGTATGGCAAAAATATAATGCGTACACAAAACATCTTCATTCCTATTATTTACATTCCAAAAAATATAATCAGTTAATATAAAAATATACACTACTATATTACTCATTTCCTTGTCGGTTTCAGCCATTCCATTTATATATGTTGCAAACGAAATAGACATTTTTCCTTGTAAATAATAAAATATCCTACAATATGTAACAGGAAAAAGGAGTTTCTTTCGGCATCCTCAGACCGCCCGCTCTCATCCGCCAATTAAAGACCGATTATTTTGCAACGAGAATAATGCAATCTATAGCGCAATAGAAAATTGTGAGTTTCAACCAACACGATTGTTGGTAGGAAACGTTTAAAACATTCGTATAATACGAGATAAGAAAAAAAAGTTTACATTTTTCTGGACAGTCACCGAAAATACAATAGCCGTATAGCCGGGTTATATGTATTTTAATGCTATGTATAACAAAAAAAATGTCCAAAAAATAAATATTAGGAGTCAGACCTACTGAATATGTATATAAAATTTCATAAAAATCGGTCAAGCCGTTTCGGAGGATGTAATACGGTATGTAATTAACATTAACGAAATTAAAAGATATTAATACGCATTATACATTTAGCCATACTGTACTTAATTATAATGCAGTAAAGTACTAAATACTAACTCGACAGTCAATTATTCGAGCAATACAAGTTGACCTTCGGAGAGGCTGTCTTCCCTTTGATGTTATATGCTGTCGTAGCTGTTGGGGTCGGGGGAACTTGTGGGTCCAGTGCGTGTGGGCAGCTTGAAACCATTGATAGCAAACGCCCAGCCTTCCTGTAATGGAAAATAAAAAAAAACACTATTATTAAATAATAATAAATAAATAAAGCTGAACAATTAACACTGTACAAAATTATAATTCGGCCCATGCACGTTCCTACATCGATACTACCTATCGAATTCCGTATTGATTCAATGCTTATAACAAGATACACTTTGTTCAAAGTTGCCTGTACCTATATTTCAACTATTTTTGTGTCATCAACAATCACTATTTCCACGGTAAGCAGAACTTGTGTTATGGATACTAGACAACTGACTACCCTACTTCGATATTTTTTTTTGTAAATACATCGGAACCATCCACACCGGTAAAAACCATAATACTCGTGAGTACAAATACATGCACTGTGCGAGGAATCGAACCCGCGACCATCGGAAGTAAAGCAGTGTACTAAACCGCTAAACCACCGAGGGCGTCATCATTAGTACTACTTAATACCACCTATATAATAATAATAATATTAATAATAAACTTTATTCATAAATGTACGGTACAATTAAATATAGTTAGCCCTGGCTTTCGATATAGGTGAACCTGTGCCACGAAAGCCAGTTCCATGCAACATTCTGTAAACATTTTTGGTACATATGCAGTTGTGTACATAAAGGAATGAAAAAAAAACTTAAATACTTTTGTATACAAAAAAAAATGTATAAAAGAGACGCTATTCTTTCTGGCATACCTACTTGATTGTACAGAACGTTAATTTAACACAATGTAGAGAGAAAAAAAATAAAAGTAATGAGTATACAAGAAAAATGAGGAAAAAGAAAAAAAATATAGTAACTTCTTTGGGTTGAAGAGATCTCTTCTACGGATAAGTCGAATGTAACTCCGCGGTTGCACCCGCGTGATCTGTATAGCCTATGAGTTATTCTGATATATACGCTACATTATTGTAAAGTTTTATCATTATTGTAAATAGCAACACACAAGTTTCTTGCTCTTTCTTCTTGTGATGAGTCTGAGTTCCGAATGAGTAGTAGCATAAAAAATGTGCCTATCCAAAAGTACTATATTAAGTTTATTTGAATAAAGATTATTTCTATTTGTCTATATCATTAAAATCCATTGAGTAGTTTTTGAGTGACAGAGTAACAAACATACTTACAAACTTACAAACTTCCGCGTTTATAACATTAGTAAGATTAACTGTGCAATAAAGAATATATATAAAAATGTCATCGGGTAATTCGGCTCCTAAAAATGTTTTTAAAACAGTGATAGCTGGCTGACCCGTCATACTCGTGAACGGGTACTGTAGGAGCTGGTCTGCTCTGATGACTGATTTATTTTGTTACTTAACTAACTATTTATTAACTTATGCAGTTTATATTCGCACAAAATCTTAAAAATGTAATGCTGAACAACATTTATAAAGAGCAACACGCAAGTTTTTTGTTCACTCTTGTGATGAGTCTGCGTTCCAAATGAGTGATACAATAAAAAACATATTACTACCCAAAAGTGGTTATACAAAGATGTATATTTCTAGTATAACAGTCATGCTGTATTATTATTACTAGTGGTCGAAATTCGACCGTAATCAATTTAACATTCAGTAAGACTATAGACGAATAATATTAACGACTAGCTGTCCCCGCGACTTCGTCCGCGTGGAATTTTAATTTATTTTTCTAAAATAAAAGTAGTCTAAGTTACTTCTTATTACATCAGCTACCAGCAAAAAAAGGTCTCGTCAGAATTGGTCCATTTCAGAGATATTAGCCGGAACAAACAGACAGACTGACAAAAATTATGAAAAATGTACCTGCCAAAAACTGTCCTGTTAAAATCGGTCCAGCCCTTTCAGAGATTAGCCGGAATAAATAGACAGACAGACAAAAATTGTGAAAAATGTTATTTTGGTGTATGTACCGTATTTATATTCATATGCAAGTAGTAAAAACCGGTTATTTCAATATTACAAACAAAGTTTTACAAGCAGAGTTTGTTATACATGTTATACAAGCTCATTTGACAATAATAAGAGCTGAGTTCTCGTCAACTCCAAAATACTCCGAACTGACAGTAGATATGAAATGAAATGAAATTATATTTATTCAATAGAAAACTAAAACACACATTAAACAAACAAAAAATAGAATAACAAATAGTGCGAACAATTACAATCAAATAACAGTACACAAAACAGATATGACATATCATAAGTCTCTAATAGATCTACATGAATAAAGATATTTTGATTGTATTGGATTTGAAAACAGTACTTACTCTAACTAAATTTGGTAAGTCCGTCCAAAACGCTAAGTTAGGTATGACTTCAATACCCGTTGCACCCATGAGGAACTTCTTAGTGCAAACACCGAGAACGAGGTAGAAGATCACTAACGAGAAGAAAACAATAAGCAATGTGGATCCTACAGATCTGCCCGGTTGCTCTATTTGTTTCAGACATGCATCTCTAGAGTAGAATGCTAACACCTGAAACATAAATTATATAAATAACTAGCTGTTCCCGCGACTTCGTCCGCGTGGAATTTTATTTTATTTTTCTAAAATTCAAGTAGCCTAAGTTATATGTTATTACATCAGCTACCTGCCAAAAAAAGTGCTATTAAAATCGGTCCAGCTATTTCAGAGATTAGCCCGAATAAACAGACAGACAGACAAAAATTGTAAAAAATGTTATTTTGGTGTATGTGCCGTATTTATATTCATATGCATGTAGTAAAAAACGATTATTTCAATATTACAAACAGACACTCCAATTTTATTTATATGTATATATAATAATAACCCTGGACAATTAACACGCGCCATCTATTCTCTTGGTAAGCAGAGCTTGGGTTATGGGTACTAAGAAAACTTAGTTTTCTTTTTTAATACATACATTAATGTACATAGAAAACACCCAGACCGATACAAAAATCGTACTCGAATACAAATGTTTGAACCATGCGAGGGATCGAACCCGCAACCACCGGAAGCAAAGAGGTGTGTTAAACCGTTAGACCATCGAGAAGCCGTTACACTCGTTAGTTGTCCAATTGCTAGTGTCCGGGTTTCTCCGAAATTCTCCTAGTTTAGAGGGTAATGTATTTTTTTAGGTTTAATATTAAAGTACCTATATTAATAATTTGTTTTATTTTAAGAACAAAAAAAAATCGAACTGATTTTTAAACCAATTTGTAACAAACTGTAATAAGATTCTGTTTTGATCGGTTTATTTAAAATGATCATAAAAAAGTACTACATTAAATTTTAAGATCTGAAAAGGTGACAATGACATTAATAACTATTTATTATTATACTGACTTTTTAAAAAAAACCTGTGACATGTCCGAGTTTTGTACTCTAAAATCCGGGGTTTTCACGTGTCTTGTTCTAGTTTTCGAATTTTAGAAATGGCAACCCTAATTACTGGGTATGACGGGAATTGTCAGTAATGTAGACTCACGACCTCATTACTAGCCACGTCAGGTTGACCTCCACGCGGTATCCCCTGGAAACCATCGTGACAAATTCCTGGTGAATTTGTCACGAAGGACTAACTGACCTGATCTCATGTTCATCTTATCATCCTCCCCTGGGGCCCCACCGCGAAAACCGTTAGCGCAGGCTGGTGCATTACATTATCATAGCTAAAAATCCCTAATTACTAGCAATGCACTTCTATGTGTGTGTGTGTGTGTGTGTGTGTAATAAAAATCACTTACCATCTCATGCGGATCATCTAATGAATGTATGTATAAACGATCGTCCACTTGTGAACAAATAAGTAGGACTGTAGTGTTCCTGTAAACGAAATTAATAATTATCACAACATATTTTAATAATTTTGTAATTATACTTGTACTGTATTCAGGGGCGGATCGTGAATTTGTGGGGCCCTGGGCTAAATCTACTTAGGGGTCAACCTAATTATATTACTCAACTAAAAAAATACACTGACCAGAAATTCCCCGTTCCTTTTGATAGTCGCGCACTTGCATGAGTTGATTGATCTTAGGGTTGCCAATCCTATGATAGGTTTTTTATAATTCTAGATATTTTTTTATATTCTAAATATTCATATTTCGTTTTTTCAGTAGAGACTGGGGGCCCTGTGTATTCTCGGGGCCCTGGGCTGCAGCCCAAAAAGCCCTTTGGTAGATCCGCCCCTGACTGTATTGGTTGTTTACAATTGTGTATCTATACTTCTATACTATTATAAAGCTGAAGAGTTTGTTTGTTTGAACACGCTAATCTCAGGAACTACTGGTTGTATTTGAAAAATTCTTTTCGTGTTGGATAGTCCATTTGTAGAGGTAAGCTTTAAGCTATATAACATTACGCTACGACAAATAGGAGCGGAGCTCAGGTGGCGAATTGAAACGCAGACGAAGTTGCATGGGTCAACTAGTATCATATAAAGGGGATAACTGGATGTAACTCTGAATATATTATAAAATTTGATTAAAATTCATTCAGTAGTGAAAGAGAATTAGCCACCGGCCGTTAGGTACAGTTATGCCACTGGTTTCCTTTATGTTTTTTTTTTCAATCGACTCTATTACAACCAATACCAATATACAACCTAATTGTAAATGTTGCCCTAACAAGTAACTAACACATATAACTTTTTTTATTAGATACTAAGAAAATAAATACATACGATGCTGCATTATTATATATTATTGATCGTCCATCGTTAGAAAATATCGTCTTATTTGAATATCCAATGTTCGCATAGATGTTTCCAGTCATAGTGAATGTATTTGTTATTGCATTTTTCTCAAGTGTATAAGTATGATCACATAGCTGAAATATAATAAATTTTACATTATTTCTTCATATATTTTTATACTATACTACCTGTGCCTGTGAGTGAAAGGTAATTTTTGATAAACTTGTGTGCTACACTTGTAATATTTCTGTTAAGACTCGAGACACTTCCCTCAGTACCTCTCCAGATAGCTTAGATTTAAGTTAAATGTAAATACAGTCCACGTTACGACTCCGCGTCGAATGTACGCACTGCCAATAAGCCATATAGCACACTAGCACACTATCTAATAAACTTACTAATGTATAATAAATAAATATGTAGATAAATATGTTATTCATAAATTACAAACACATGTATTGCACAAGCATAATAAGATGTTTGATGAGTGGCTTTTTGTTTAAAATAAAAAGTAATTCAATTGAGTTTCTTGCCAGTTCTTCTCAATTGGATCTATATACCGAACTGGACGGTAGGGAAACAAAAATTATAATGTAAAAACTTGACGTTCATAAGCGGCTAAAATGTCCTACATGAATAAATTATTTTTTAATTTGAAGTTTTGCTCATCCTATAATTCTCTACCAGACACTATTAGCACTGGTGTAAAAAAGTTATGTTGTATACATTATGAAAATGATTGATTCCTCATCATCATCATTGTCTGCTTCTTCCTTATCCTATTTATTTGGGGTCAGCGTAATATGTTTTTCGCTTCCATTCATCCCTGTTCGCAGTCATCGCATTATTTACGTCCTCTCTTACCATATCATCTAACACACAGTCCATCCATCTCTTTTTCGGCCTTCCTCTGCCCTTATAACCATCCACATTCATATGTAACACCTTTCTTAAAATGATCGATTCCTCTAAAGCAAGATATGCATATAAATATCTTTTAGCTCTAAATTTCATAACGAACAGATAACATTTCTTATAATACCTACAATAGTTATATTGTTAAAGAAAAAAAAGCAGTGGATAATCTTATCTATAAATTAACTTTTACCAGCAGTCTTAAAACTACTATAATCACTGTGATAAAACCGTATCTTAAACTTAATAATTAAAAAAAAATGTTAAATTACCGCCACTGGATCAAGGCAATAATTGGTAACATTGTCTTTTGGCTCCGAGTCGTCTGGGGTAATCTTGAAGTCTGTACAGGGATGGAAATAAAAGGTCTCCATTCTATACTGTAGGCCATTCTTCTTCTTTTGATAAGTCGCCGTTGTGTATACGGTTGTTGTATTCGTAGGTGTTAGATCAATTCCGGTGCCATTAGAAAACATACAACTGCAAGGATTCCTCTTGACACAAACATCTTGAGCATTAATCGATACCGTCACAAATGTGAGCAAAACGAATAAAATAATTTCGGTTTGATACATTTTCTCAAAAAATTATAATCATGTAGTATTTTTATTCTTTTCCTTTTCACGTTGTCTATCAGTTAGATGTCAGTCTTTATGATTTCGTGAGTAATTATTTGTCAGTCAGTATTGATCATTCCTGACATGTCATGTTAGCGATCAAAGATGTCACTGTCAATTAACAAAATCGCAGAGCAAATTAGAAGATAGTCTGTAAAGAGAAATAAAATATTCGCTATCTTATTCATCAAAATTATTTTCATTTATATACATTTTATTGACGTGTCAGACAAGAATGTGTTATTCAATTTAAAAATTAATATTTCTAATTTCCAATTAATTAATTTGTTTATATCTTACTTGTATAAATACTCTGTTGTGATCTCCCCCAACAACATAAATGTAAAGTATATTTGGTAGAAACAAGACTAACAATGTGCAAATGTTTATTTGTTTATAAATCAATGCAAATACGGTATGGCTGATAAAAAGAAGAAAATGTTCCCATCCAAAGTAAGCAGTTATTCTGAATAATAAACGACGTAAATATTCAAAGAAAGGTTCTTGAGTATCGACCTTGTAATGGTACACGAAATGCAAGGCTCTTAGTGAGTTAAATGACTGTGTCCAGTGCATTAACCTAATTCGCTCATGTCCATGTCTTGAAATTGCTCTCTTATTAGTACTAGCTGTGCCCGACATCGTCCGCGGGGAATAGTACGCGGGGAATACCTTGCATAACTTAAAATAAAACCAACAAAACAGTTTCATAGTTCTAGCTTCAAAAATGAAGAATTTCAGTACTAACTTTCATCCCCTATTTTATTTAATCAACAGCCTAAAAAACATGTTTCAATCTTCTAGCTTTAAAAATGACAATATACAACCTTTCATCACCCTTTCAATCCCTTACAACCCTTTCTTCGCATAAGAAAGTACCCTATATCCTTTTTCAGGGTTTAGACTATTTGTGTACCTACCTAACTTCATTTAAGTTGCTTCAGTAGTTTTGTGTGAAAGCGGGATAAACAGACAGAGTTACTTTCACATTTATAATATTACTAAGGCATACATATGCCTTAGTAATATTACCTATATACCTAGTTATCATTTGTTCAAAAAGACAATGTTCTATAACATTCATTCTAAATATTGGCATTCAATTTAATATTAATAACTGTGGATAATCTACACAGAGCCATCTAGTCCCAAGCTAAGCAGAGCTCCTGTTATGGGTACTAGACAACTGGTATAAATGCTTAAATAATTTTTTTAGTAAACATATTTTTATTTTCTGTGTCTATCTTGCAATCAGTTGAAGGCTATGAACAGATGTTGTAAAGGTTATGTCATGTCTGTAGAGTGTGATTCCCAGCAGAATAATCATCTCTTTTGGTGCTCCTGATTAATCATCACATTCCAGTAGCATAAGCCTTTTAAGTTGATGTATGTTGTCTTGGACTATCAGTTGGTTGGCCAGCACATTCATATAATTTACTAGCCATGTCTTGTATTTGGAGTAGCAGTGTCTTATCTCTTCAGTGTAAACATACATGAAAACACTGAGACCAATATGAATAAGCCAATGTTTCAGCCACTCTTATCTTTGTCATAACAAGCCTGTGTCCCCAATAGATTTCTAGCTGTGAGTGCACCATGGGATCACCATAAACGTCAGATGTGCTGGCAATTAATATCTTTGCTCCAACACACAGTGCGAGTCCTAACATATTAATAAGACACCAGGCGTGTCGCATCCACATTGCTGACCCTTAAGAAAGCTTAATATACACTTCTTGAAAAACCCCATGCTGTAGTCTCATGAAAAAACCTTGGCAGGAAGTTCATTTCACAGTCTAAATGTACGCGGAAGGAAGCTCCTCTGATACCGCACTATGCCACAGACATAGACCACTTAGGATCTAGCGTGTTGGGATGAACTCCCTGTCAATGTCAAACAATTCCTCAAAACATTCCTCCTTATCTAAATAGTTTATTCTTACCAACATTAATATTATTCTATTGTTCTTATTCATCAGGAGTCTACAATACCAAGGAGGCCGGTTATTTTGAAATCAGACCGTGATACTACAAAGGAGCAAGCTAAAGAAAAACCTGAAAAAGAGAAACAACCAACTATTATTCTTAAAACTAGGGAGCAGAGTGTGATCAAAGATGATCGACCAGTGAGCCCTAAAAATGTTGCAAGCTCAACATCAGATGAGCCCCATTTTAGTAAAATTGTTCAGAATGAGCATAAAGATAAAAAACATGGAGGTGGGACATTTATATGTAATGCGGGCTAATCCCGCAGTTTCATCCGCGTGAAATTTACAGTCTATATGTTATTCTGATGTATAAGCTATATATATACAGTTTCATCAAAATCCGTTCAGTAGTTTTTATGTGAAAAATTAACAAACATCCATCCATACTCGCAAACTTTTCTGTTTATAATATTAAAAAGATGTGTTTGTTACTCTTTCATGCTAAACTACTGAATGGATTTTGATAAAACTTGCACTAATATAGCTTATACATCAAAATAACAGGATTATTCATGCGGTGAAACCACGGGCACAGCTTGTTACAAATAAAGCTTCTATACTGCAGACTTACTCATTTCTTTTTTTTATCTAGAACAAAAGATAAGTCCACCTCTGAAGCAAATGACGGAGCCCATAAAACTATTGGATGAAAATATGGAATTCAACAGTGCAGCTTTGGAGTTCTTGCATGACTCGAGTACTAATTATCTTGTTGTTGGAATAATAGGTTAGTTTATTATTCTTATATCTATTACTTGTTTCCTTATCTTAATATGTATATGAGTGTATAAGAGAGCTGTATAGGCAACTTTTTTGCATATACATTTAATAAAACTTATTTCGGGAATAAATATCCGTATATTTACTAAAATATGCCAGATTAGCCAAAAATATTGCTATTAATGTAGAATATATTGAGCATTTCTGAAAATTCTTTACAGGGGACTGTGAATGCATATAAACAAATACAATTTTTATAACATTTTGTTTGGTTATTATAACCTTGAAAAAATTATAAAGTCAAATTTAAAAATTTGACATTCATAAGTCGCTAATATGTCCTACATGAATAAATGATTTTTGAATTTTGAATTTTTACTTTCAACTATTGTATTCAGACACTGACTTCAGCACTGAAATCTTAATATCGACTTGTTTTGCCAAGTAATTACACTCCAAATAATCTTCACTTTTAAACAGTTGTACTAAAGTTTAAAAGTGAAAACATTTAGGTCCACATTCATTCTAAATAATAAACAATTAGGTCTAAACTAAAACTGAATATAAACTGAATAATAAAAAATTACTACCATCATTGGCAGCCTTAAGGAGGGTCGTATTGTATATGTGGATATGTTTCAGGAACGCAAGGAGTAGGAAAGTCAACAATACTGAACCTTATTGCTCAGAGTACACAGTCCCAAAACGTATGCATACAGAAGTTCCACGCACTAGCTGTGTCCAATCAGGACACCTACCAGAGTAATGTCACATCATTAGAAGGTCAAGTGAGAGACCTGGACTTGAGTGTGCATAATGATGTACAGAAAACTGATAATTGCTTTAAGTTCAAAATGCAGGATATTGAACACATTGAACGGGGTGTACATTGTACAAAAGGTACTATTTTTTTTATATATATTTGAGTGTTTCCTTCATTAATAATAATAATAATCTCAGGACAATTCATACAGCCCCATCTAAACCCGAGTTAAGCTAGCTATAGCTTGTACTGTGTATTATGGATACTAGATACTGATACAAATACATAAATTTTTGTAAATACATACATATTATACATAGACCCAGATCGACACAAACAATCATATAGATCATGGATACAAATGTTTGTGTCGTGCGAGGAATCGAACCCGCGACCATCGGAGATAAATCGATATGCTAAAACGCTAGTCCGACAACCGAGGTCGTCTTTCATAGGTAACCGTTTACCATGAAATGGACCGTACGCTTATTTGTCACCTACGTAGTATAAAAAAAATAACATATCAGGTTGACCTCCACGCGAACCAGTGGTTAATCCTAATGATCCATTCATCCTGGTGAATTTGTCACAATGAGCTAACTGATCTGACCTTATGTTCCTATCATCCATTAGTACCCGTCATCGTATACCCTAAGATCAGGCATACATTTTCATTTATTAAAAAAAAAAAGATCAATTTACGGCCTATTTTATGACGGCCTTGGTAGTCTAGCGGTTTAGCACACCGTTTTACTTCCGATGATTACGGGTTCCATTCCTCACGGCACAAACATTTATATTCATGAGTATGATTGTCTGTGTCGGTCGGGGTGTTTTCTATGTATAATATGTAAGTATTTACAAAAAAAATAAGTATATGTATGTACTTGTATCAGTTATCTATAACCCATAACACAAAATTTGGCTAGCTTAACTTGGATCTAGATGGCGCTGTGTGAATTATCCTGAGATTATTATTATTATTTTAGGCATAGATATGTACATAACTAATGATCGAGTCATACTCCTGGATTGCCAAGCTCTATGGTCACCGTCACTCATAGAAGAGAACACCAATCCAGTAACCTCGAGAAGTGCCAATGTGGTCATAGTTGACTGTCTTCAGATAGCATCCTACCTGATGGCCATTTGCCATGTACTGATCGCTGTACAGGATTGGTTCACAGATTATAACTTTATAAGGTAAAATTTAAGTATTCACAAACTTAATATTCATAGATTAAATATATATATTTATTACTCTCTGTCCCCGCAAACTTTGTTTTGCTGTATAGATTAAAATCACTATTAAAAATAGGGGATGTATATATATATTTTTAATAACAATTAAAAAAAAAAAAATTACTTGTTTTGCTGTTTAGCACACTAATTTACTTTCGATGTTCGCGGGTTAGATTTCTCGCACAGTGCAAAAATTTGTATTCATTGTATGATTGTATCAGTCTGGGTGTTTTCTATATATATTTTGTATGTATTTAAAAAAAAATATTTAAGTATTTATACCAGTTATGGGTACTAGACAGTACCCATAACACAAGCTCTGCTTACAGTGAGACTAGATATCGCTGTGTTAGTTGTCCAGGGTTATTTATTTATCTTACTTACAGGTATATCCAAGCTGCTGAAATGCTGAAACCATCTCTCTCAGCATCCAATACTGTGAGCAGCCAAGAAGGTTCAGAATCTACCGCAGATGGTGAATGCCATCCACATTTATTATTACTTCATAACCGCTGCCAATTGGAAGATTTCACCAATGAGGCTCTGAAGACCATGCAGGATGTATACAGGCAAGTTACAATTCATTACAAGTATATAGATGACTGAGCTTCCCTAAGATCCTCATCCAATTTAAACGAGGATCGCAATTACGACGACCTGAACCGAAGTTCGAACCTCTAGCGGTGCCCAGCCACTTCAGCCGTTGCGTTTCGAGTGCCATCTGTACTCGCCCCGTATGGTTTGGTGAAGCTGTAAAGGCCAGCTGCAGGCAACAGCATTAGAATAGTTAAAAACATATCTTTAAACAAGTCACCTTAAAGCGATTGGCAACAGTGAGGCACAGTTAAAAACTGATAAATTTTTCTTAAAAACTTATAAAAATATCAACAGAATACACAGTTCATGTAAATCTAGTGTATGTACACAACCATTGCTAAAAATGTATTGCCATATATTGTTAAACTGTAAACTACAATAAAACTACCTGAATTTTATCCTAGATGGCACTATAAACATGATATCATATAATATCATCATCATTACATAGTATAGAATAAAGTCACTCTCGCTCCAAAAAATCCATTTATATACTACTAGCTTCTCGCCCCTGCTTCGCACGAGTGAAGATGTATTATATATATAAAACTTGCTTTTGAATCCCTCTATTTAAAAAAAACCGCTTCAAAATCCGTTGCGTAGTTTCAAATATTTAAGCATACATAGTGACGTCTGTCCGTCACTATGTATGCTTAAATCTTTGCTAGTAGTATATAAATCTAAGCTAGTAGTATATAAATGGATTTTTTCAATAAATAGATACCTACTAATAAACCAGTAAACCTTGTTTTAGAGAATGAATTTACTCCTAACATACAAATTACGTTCGTACGTTCAATTAATATATTATTAAAAAAAATATAGTGTTGAACATTTTGATTATATTTCTAATTAATCATGTAGAAAGAAAGCTATATTGACTGAGAGTAATTTGTGTGAGTCACCTCCCACCTACCTACTCTATGTTCATAAGTCCTCTCTTCCAGCTTCTCTGTAAGAAATTGCTTATAACGATAAGACCTATATTTCTTGTATGTACACAATAATAATATAATAGAGTATTATTATTATTATTAACTTCGACGGCCTCGGTGGTCTAGTGATTTAGCACACCGCCTTACTTCCGATGGTTGCGGGTTCGATTCCTCCCACGGCACAAACATGAGTATGATTGTTTATATCGGTCTGGATGTTTTCTATGTATAATATGTAGATATTTACGAAAAAAATCTATGTACTTGTATCAGTTATCTAATACCCATAAAGTTAGCTAACAAGCCTGTTGCTTTAGCTAACTTAACTTGGGCCTAGATGGCGCTGTGTCAATTGTCCTGAGATTATTATTATTATTGACTACAGCTAATATAATCAATGGAGTTTTTTATATAATTCCAGGAAGGCATTCCAGAGGTCTAACTTACAACTCAACTCGGGTATGTATATGTATAGCGACACCAACAGCCATGGTCTGGATGTGGATAATGTGTGCAAGGGGTACAGCGTCGATACCTGTGGTACACCAATTAACCTGTTCCTATTGCCGGAGCTGTATGCGGACTATGGTATGTGCATTTGTATATATAACTTGTGGCGGCGTCGTGACCCAGGTCAATCTAATATAGTTGAGTGCAATAATGGATGGTTCATCCGTCATACTCGTGAACGGGTGCTGCTAGCGGGGACTGGTCTGTTCGATTTACGAACACTGATTCGACTATTTGCTTTTGCAATAGCATGTGCTGGTGGTAACTCTGTTCTCCCAAATTTGAATTTATAAATGAATCTGTATTATTGTGAACATGTACAGAGAATAGAGTGACAGCCAGGGTCACTCTATTCTCCCAAATTAGAATTTTAATGACTGTGTATTATTGTAAACATGTACAACATTTATTTGAAAAGAATACGAGCTGAGTTTCTTGTCAGTTCTTCGCATCTCGAAATCATTCCGAACTGACGGTAGATTTGACCTATCATAAGAGTCTAATGAATAAAGATATTTTTTAATTTGATTTGAATTCACACAGCGTAATCTAGTCTCTAGCACAGCGTGTGCTATGGGTACTAGATAACTGATATAAATACTTACATACATTTTTTTGTAAATCCAGAAATAATATTCATAGAAACCATCCAGAAGGGATTACCCCCTACAACCTCAAACACAAACTAATTTTAAGTTATATATTATAGTGTAGATTTTTTTCTATTTTAGATAATATAGACATATATCGAGGACACCCGCCATTCGAACAATTGGCGAAACGACTTCGCTGGATGATATTAGGAGTCAATAGACACCAAATAACTAATGTTCCCAACCTCTCCGAAAGGGGATGGTTCCATTACTGCAACAAAGCATGGGAAACCATAAGAAAGTGCACCTTTTTCATGGAATACGAACGGTTCCTGCCTTGAAAACATTAACACTATCTCGGAGAAGGATTATTGATATTAGACAACAGATACGGCACAGGTGCCTGACACCTGCATCTTATCACGAGAGATAAAGCCGTTTGAAAGCAATGATTTTATTAAAACAAAATTGTACATTGGCAATTGGACCCAATAAACATTTAATAATTATGTTTGCGTTTTATTAGTGACTACATTCATTATAGTTTACTGGTAAACACTTTCAATGAGTGGTTTGCGCCTCTGCTCCGGTGGTTTGTATGCGTGCTGGTAAACGCTTGCCAATCGCCAATGCTCAGGGTAACCACTTGCGTTTGAGTCCCGCCATATACTAAATGGTGGTGCTAGAGTCGGTATCGTGTAAGACTTCTTTGAGTACGGATGACGCATCTTAGGAATTTTTAGACCCTTCGAGTCAGTTGTACTGGTAACACTTTGTACTGAATTCGGATTACCAGCTTTAAAAGCGAATTTGTAGTCTTCTTTTTGTTTTGGCTCCTCATGCAATTTCTCGTGGCATGGCAAACAATTCCGATGCTTTGTATTAGACAAGTCACTCTCCTTAGAGCGTTTAGACAGTTGAGATTCATTCGGCGAACTTTGATGCAGTTTACCTTGCGCCAAAGGCGTTTTTTCGTACGATTCCAAACTGTGGCGGTTCTTATTTAAATCGTGGCGACTACTTTTTTTCAAGTCTGCACTCCAAGCATCTTTTATTGGCTGGAGCTTCTCTGGTCTTAAATCACGGTTAGAGCTGCGACTTGCCTCGCTTGGTGTGCCGCATCCGTGTATACCGTCACACGGAGACTTTTTTACAGAATGACCAGAACTTTTTCTACTTGACGACTTCGAGCTTTTATCATTCTGGTATTTCTCGGCGTAGTTGTGTTGCGGACAGTGTTGGACATCACAAGAATCTTTCCGCTTTTGTTTTGCCATATCTTTTTCAAAATATGGAACTGGATGGTGCCCGGGATCGTCTCCTGCGCGATTTTGATGAAAAATTGACATCGTGTGGCCAGCTACTGCTTGTTCAATTTCTTCTTTAGGAGTGTGTACCATTGTGAAAACAGCTGGTGCTTTTGAACCGTTTGAGCCATCTATGTGTTTAGGTGGCCGTGGTTCAGACTTTGGATCATCTGGTCGAAAATCCCAACAGATAGCTAGATCCATGAGCGATAGTGATTTTTTGTTCTGGCTGCCCAGGTCGGGAGTTGACGTGGAAGGTCTTTTGTTTTCGTGTTTGTCTCCTTCGGTCTTTTTATGGTCGCAAGTCTTCGGTCTATGTACACGCATTTTAGTGCAACAAGTAGGTCCTGCAGCACCGTACCCTTTCCAACCTATTGCATATGGCTTCACTATAATATCTGAATCTCTGTGTTCAGCGATTTTAGTTAAGTTTCTATATCCCAAAGTATCTGGAAGAGGTTGATGCTCTAAATTACCGACGTGCATTTTCTTCGCAAACTGGAAATTTTGCGATACATTTACGTGAGGTAATTTTGGTGTTTCACTCTTTTTACCATATTTCATGTTCTGGTCCCGTACATTTTCCTTTGCATTCTCAGCTACTTTTCTCCAGAATTTATCTGTTTCGTCTTCCTGCTGACCGTGTAGTTGTTCGATTGCGTTTTTAACTAACAAATCATGGCTTTCGTGCCGTTTATCGGGATCCGTTAATGCTCCTGGAATATATGGTATATGGCCGTCTTCATCTACTGGTTCTTTCTTTTCAATTTCTAATGGATTATCCTCTTTATTAATTTGTACGTTATCTGCTTTTTCAGTTTCGTTTATTTCTTCGTTATTAACCTCAGAACCATTGACAGCACAGACATGGAAAGATTTTACAAAAATAACTTAAATTTCTTATTAATTTCTATTTATAAATAATAAATAAAAATTACTATGCGTGCGATACTAAGTCTTCCTGTCTTCAGTGCTTCTATTTTTTGTGCGCTTGTGCTTGTGGAATGGGCATTGGCGTGGCTGAAATAAACGAAATATAAACCAAAGATTAATGTGATATGCCGTAAATAGTAGCGTGCTGTGAGTCGCAAACGATAAATATAAATAAAAAAGTATATAGAACAAAAAGGTTGTTTTAAAACGTACCAGTAACATTATTATGGTTATTGCAGTAAGTTGCTATTAGTTCTTTAAACTAAATCAAGTAGGTAGCAATGTTGTAATACATACTCTAAGGAAGGCAGAGCGTTGTCTTCAAATAAAAATATTATGGAAACATCAACCACAGTTTAAAGAAGTATTAAGCATTATCTATAAGTAAAATAAAAGTACGCATTCGTTGTACCTACACTACTTACTTATATATTTTTATGTAATTAGTAACCGTTACCATTGCCTATATACAGACATCACATCATCATCATTCATCATCTGTGGTATCACCCGGTGATGAATGTTTCACCCTTTTTTCATTTATGTATGATGCAGTTCACAATTATAAATATTATTTATGTTCATTTAAAGTGTTACCTATACTTTGCAAAGAAAGATGTTGGCACAAATATTATACGACAATTATGTCATTTAACACTACAAGTCAATAACTATTAAACTAAACGAGGAACAGAAGGCAGTATAATAACTGATTTAAAGAAATGTACTACTCCATACAATAGATATCACGTCACGCAAACGAAATAAATGCAAAACTATTAGGAAGTGGCAAGACAGTTACATTGACAAATCGCAAGCCGTGTCACTAACCTATATAACTTTCAAGGATTTTACATCATAGACTAAGGACGGAAGCGGGAAAAATTGTCATGGCGCCAAACAGTTCAAAATAATGTCACAGATAAGATAATATTACATAACTAGCTGTACCCGCGACTTGTCCGCGTCGAATTTAACTTTACTATTCTAAAATAAAAAAAATCTAAATTAAAAATAGCCTAAGTTACTCCTTATTACATCAGCTACCTGCCAATAAAAGTCCCGTCAAAATCGGTCCAACCATTTCAGAGATTAACCGGAACAAACAGACGAGACATACAAAAATTGTAAAAAAAATATTTTGGTGTATGTACCATATTTATATTCATATACAAGTAGTAAAAACGGTTATTTCAATATTACAAACAGACACTCCAATTTTATGTATATGTATAGATAATGTTTATTTGCTGTAGTTGTGTAAACATTAATTATTTTTAGAATAAAATTAGATTTTAGAAAAATAGTATACTATTTCCAGAGATCTCACCAACAAAACGGCCGAAATGGCCGCCATGCCGTTTTGTAGGCAGTAAAATTACAAATTACGAGAGGGTGCCGCAATCTTAAGGAATAAGAAAGCATCAGGTTTTGTACGGAATTCTATGACAAGGCACAGATACGACAATATTACATGTACATGTAGTAACACAACAGCCTTTTACTGGAATTCATGACGTAATTTTATTTTATTTTTCATAGTTGGCACTGTGTAGAATCGAACCCAGGACTGGCTAATACGATCAAAAAATTTTGATTTCATTAGATATAATCCCGCACTGTCAATATAACATTATTCAATTTCAAAGCGTTTATTTACTTGAGAAGTAAATAAACGCCTTTACTGTAAGTACAAGTGATGCCTTAAATTAGTCAACAAACAAATAGTTATACCGTTACTTCAGACGGGCTAGTCGTATGCATTGTCAATTATGTGGCTACAGACATGCCCACATTTCAGTTAGTACCTACTCGAATATTTGAATATAACGTGGCCAAGAGCCAGCCCACCCGTCTCTTGAATTATTTTTTGACTTTATTATCGGTGTTTCCATCACTGGAGAGTCAGTTATAGATATAAATTACCACGAAGATTTTATTTTAATCCACGACCTTCTAGGCGTAAAACAGGATGGTAAACCACTAGCCATGACGTTGTAATTTATTATATAATTGAAATGTAATAATGACATATGTATTTATATCATTCAAAATACGTAAGATATCAAAGCGAACGAGGTAGGTAGGTGGATTCACTAAGTTTAGTTTCACTAATCCGGGTAATAAATTATAAGCATAATGTATTACGCATACCTATCTACAATATTTACGATTTGCAATGTGATTACTCAAACATTAAACAAGCTGTCATAGTGTCATTTAAATTAGGTGTTTTAAATATGAAATAAATGTGCCAAAGAGAATAAATATCGGTCTACAATTTTAACAAAACCTTGTTACTTAAATATCAAACGTGCATGGCAATAATTTATAATACACGGGATTATAATTAGATATTAGACATAGCCACCTGAAACTGGCTTTAAAAAAATCTGTCTAGTTTCTAAGTTCTTCTCAATTTAATCTGTGCACAGAACAGGACTGTAGAGAAAAGAACTTAATACAAAAAAAACATGTAGTTTATAAGCGGCTAAAATATCGTACATGAATTATTTTTGATTTTATTTGATTTCTACAGGTACCTGTTGTACAACTGTCGAAAATATTAAGTATGTTATTTAGAAATTGTTCACTAAGAACTACACTTATGTACATTCTATATCACAAAAATCTGACCATAAACAAATATCAAACGTTTCGCGCGCTTTTATCTGTCAACTTCAAAACGTCACATCTGTGCAACTCACAATGAACGTCTGTTCCTCTATTGGTACGCTTTCCTCCTTTGCTTTCCCACGTTTTCCAGTACGCATGCGCCCTGCTGCTGCTGCCTTAGGCCTCTGCACACGAAGATTGACCCAATCTGGGAATCTTCCCATTGGTGGCTCCTTAGCTAATTCTTCCGCTGGAAATTATGTCTTTAATTATAATTATAACTTTAAACCTTAAAACCCGAATCGAATTTAATTTTAGAGCAGTTAGTACAAAAATCATAATATCGACACTCAATGTCTTTTGTAAAAACATTTTTATCCGAACATTTATATATTTACATGTATAAATATAAGGCTGTCTGGTGCCAAAATGAAGAGAAAAAAAATTATTTAGAGAACTTCAGTGTAAAATATAGTAGCTTTTTATCATATAGGACACAACATAGAACAACAAAAGATGCCATCTTTTTATATTGCTATATGAATTAACCCAATATTTTGTATTTATCAGCCATTTAGATAAATTTATTGTAGCAGGACTATTAGCATAAAAACAGCTCAACAAAAAAGTCAAGATGTAGCACAATAATATACAAGATAATCCCAGCGTCACAACTACTCGAAATAGAACAGTATACCAAGACATCTGGCCCACGGGGTAGGTACTGATGGATTAAATTCTCCAATCATGAGGAGATCCATGTCCATCGATAACGTGATAACACTTAAGTCAATTTTTTAATAATGTGACTAAATTAAAAACACAATATTTTTTCTTAACCATTCGATTTGCGTAAACATACATATTTTGAATTTGATTTCGTAGCCGAGTGTTTGCGTCCGTAAGTGTATTTATTTTATATTTAAACTTTTTTTAATTTTGTACAATAGGCGGGTTTAATGCTAATAGTATACCTACCAGGCAACCTTAGGGAGTACAGAAATAGTCGAAGGCGGTTTAGTTTATTAAATAAAATTATATAATATATTAAATATATATAAATATAAGAGTATACATATATGTATAATAATAAGTATATTATGGCTTAATATATATAAATATATATGTATGTATGTGGTAACATACATACATATATATTTATATAAACAAACTACATATATATAAAATGATGATATTATTGCAGTTCTATGAAAGACGATTTTTTTAAAGTATACTAGCTGTCCCGGCAAACTTTGTTTTACTATATACATTAAAATCGCTATTAAAAAATAGGGGTTGATGCTAGAAGGGTGAAAATTTAGGGTTGTATGTATTTTAATGCCACATTATAAATACATATAAATAAAATGTGCCCAAAAAATAAAAAAATAATGATAGGGATGAACAACAATTATCACTTAGGGGTATGAAAAATAGATAGTAGCCGATTCTCAGACCTACTGAATATGCATATAAAATTTCATAAAAATCGGTCAAGCCGTTTCAGAGGAGTATGGTAACTAACATTGTGACACGAGAATTTTATATATAAGATTTATATGGATATGCCCTTGCATAGATTTATATTATGTTTTGCATCTCCATTTTTCTTGTGTATATTATGCACAGTCTTGACTCTTTGTTGGTCTGCTCCATGTATATAAAATGGAAAATCCATAATCAGTATCATATATCCAGTATTAAGACTTTAATCTTGTTTAAAATGATACGATATGAATAATGTTTGACTGTTTGCCAAATCAATATGATAATAAGCAATATGATATATTTTTATTTGATAAATACTTAGTTTTTTTTTTGTAAATACATACATAATATATATAGAAAACACCCAGACCGATACAAAAAATCATACTCATGAATACAAATGTTTGCACCGTGCGAGGAATCGAACCCGCGACCATCGGAAGTAAAGCGATGTGATAAACCGTTAGACTATTGTTTGTAATAACAATAATAATATAATAACATAGGTATTAATCTAATCCTACATTATAACTGAACTAACTAACGTTTTAATATTTTTTTTATTAAATAGTCAGTTGAAACTGTTTGTTTTTTTTTACAATAATTTAATTTTTTCGGAAAATATCATTCTCGTCCTCGACCTACCCCATCGCATTATCATCACCAGCCAGCGTGGACATTTATTGTAGGCCTCACTGTTTTTTTTTTTCTTTTTGCTCAACTTCTGTGTATTAATATATATAACTCAAAGGTGACTGACTGACATAGTGATCTATCAACGCACAACCCAAACCACTGGACGGATCGGGCTGAAATTTGGCATGCAGGTAGATGTTATGACGTAGCATCCGCTAAAAAGGATTTTGATTAATTCTACCTCCAAGGGGCTAAAATAGGGGATGAAAGTTTGTATGAAACTTTGTCAATTTTAAACCGATCGGGGTGAGACTTTGCATGCATAAAGCTACTATGACGTAGCCATTCCCTAAGAAAGGATTTTAATAAATACTAACTCTAAGGGGATATATTAACGCGAGCGAAGCCACGGGCAGAAGCTAGTGTTTTATAACCTTCCTCAAGAATAGAGTTATCAAATACGATAAAGCTCTTCAAATCCGACTAGTATATACTAGAGATTAGTACATTTAAACAAACAACACTCTAACTTTATATATTCGTATATATTGTAATGATTAGGTACAAAGATAAATTATTTATTTCTTTTATCTAAGATATACCTAGATTATAAACAAAGTACCTATAAGACCTTAACCACGAAGTTATGTCAATTATTAATTTTGTTCTTGAACTAGCTACTCGCCCCGGCTTCGCTCGGGTGTACATGTATTATATATATATAAACTTTCCTCTTGAATCACTCTATCTATTAAAAAAACAGCTTCAAAATCTGTTTCGTAGTTTTAAAGATTTAAGCATACATAAGGACGGACAGACAGCGACAGCGACTTTATTTTATACTATGTAATGTAATAATGATTATTGGCGAAACGGGAATTATTAGTAAATAGCTGTTGTAACTTCGTCCGTGTAGGATTTACCTTATAAATAAATAACCCTGGACAATTAATACAGCGCCATCTAGTCCTGAGATAAACAGAACTTAAGTTATGGGTAATAACTAATAGAATACTTAGAAACATTATTTTTGTAAATACATACATAATATACATAGAAAACACCCAGACCGATACAAACAATCAAACTCATAATGAATACAAATGTTTACACCGTGCGCAAAATCAAACCCGCGACCGTCGGAAATAAAACGGTATGCGAAACCGGCTAGACCACCGAGACAGTCATAACATGAGCATAGATTCTTTTCTGCCAATATCAAATATAAGAATTAAATTTTTATTTCCATTATTTCTTCCTTTTAATCAAAGCTGTTCGTTATTCACCCCTTTGCAGCGCTATATTTAGAAAACAATACTCGTGACATGGCACAGACCTATCAGGAAGTATCGTGTGTTGACAAACAGCGTATACCTATACTGCTATATATTTTTTATATCCGTTTTATACAGCTCAAGGACAAAGTTACGCACATATCATTTCTGCTGATTTACTTTGTGAAATTTTTGATAAGCGCTTTCATTACCGATTCCTCCGGTATGACAATTCCTAGGAGGATTGCGACATCATATTGCAGAAGAAAATGTAGACCAGGCAGATCGAATAAAAGGTAGCGTTGCCACATTGTACAAACAGCGAGAAAAATAAGGAGTACATTAATAACTCTAGTCGACTTATATAGCGCCATCTAGTCCCAAATTATCAGAATGGGTTTATGGGTGACAACTGATATAATTACTTAAGACACATTTTTTAATAAATACATACAAAATAATGAAACACCCAGACTAATATAAACCTACTCATAAATTATACTGTGCGAGAATGGACCCCGCGACCATCGGAACTTAACATTTTAAACCTCCATACTATTGTAATATTACAAATGCTACATCCGCAATACCACTTATACCTCCCTCTGCCTTTTAAACCTCATAGAGAGCCACCAGCACAGGGGAAGGTTGTCTACCTTCCCCTGTGAGGTACTACCGAACTCTTACCGGCTAAGACCAAGGTGTTAATTCTCTTAACCTTTTGTCACGTGACTACGCCAAGGAATCCTCCGTAACCCTGACAGCTATGCCTCTATCTACCCTAAACTACGCGGATGGGAATGGAATTGTTAGTAGTATAATATTATATTATCTGTGGTAGTATGGACCAGTGCAATGAAGACATGCACTAATAATGTTCTATGACGGGTCGACCTCCCCGTAATCCCTCCTGGAAACTATCCTGGTTATTTTATCATCATTTGCCACGATGTTCATTTTATCGTCCTCGACTAGTCCGCCACTAGGACATATCATTAGCACAAGCGGTTGTACCAATTACATATTCATTAAATGGAACTAAACAGTAACCAACTGTAGACTGTTCTATAGTTGGTTACTGTTTAGTTCCATTAACGTCCCAGTAACGGTCAGAATTACTAAGTCATACTTACCAACTTTCCTCGTAATCTTCCTCGGCAGGTCCCAAGTCCCGGTGTAGTGGCCGAAGCATCTCGATGTTCCTCTCGGAGCACCGGGCAAGAAGTGGCCGTTTATATCGCAAATCGGTTTCGGGTTTGGACGCATTTCAACCGGCCTAGCCCGGCTTGGCGCCCAACGTGGGACCTGCCAGTTGCCGAGTCGCTTCGGCATAGACTCTTTGTTGAACTGCAAAATGCGAAGATTAATAAATACAAGATGTTGTATTACATGCACGAAGTACCGATTTCTTTTTGAACAATCAAATAAGAGAGAATTATTTGTATACGTTCAAATTTCACAATTGTATTACATTTTTTTTTATTTTAGATAAAATTTTATTTTATGTTTATAAACTTTTAGCAAATTATTTTGGCACAAACAGTCAATAATTCAACTTATAATTACATGCTAGTATATATATAGTAGATAGACAACGAGTACCGAAACGAAATAAAAAGGTTAGCGTTAATATATACGATAACAAAATAAAAATCCAAGTCATATTATTTAAGATATAGACAATAATAAAATACAAATAGAAAACCCACTTCTTTTTTAAAACCTTTAACTTGTGATCTCAAAATACAAATTATAATTACTATCTAACAAAAAAACCCTTAACAATAACGTGGCACGCGTCACCCATTTAGCAGGTGTCAAATCACCCCGACGCGTTATAATAATCATCCCTCTCGACAAAGGGTTGCAAATTGTTATTTACCCCATACATCACCAGTGTATTTCCCTAAATTATAATTATAATGGGGTGTAATAAATTAGAATTATCTTATCAAACTATATTTATTTAGGACTTGCTTATCATAATTTTATTACTTACTAGCTACTGGCCCCGGTTTCGCACGGGTGTACATGTATTATATATATAAACCTTCCTCTTGAATTGCTCTATCTATTAAAAAAACCGTTTCAAAATCCGTTGCGTAGTTTTGAAGATTTAAGCATACATAGGGACGGACAGACAGCGGCCGCGACTTTGTTTTATACTATGTAATGATGATATATCTGAATGTTACTTTCTATACGAATAAAGAGTATCTTAAAAATATATCGTACAAAAGTGGTTGTGTTAATTTTATTTCAATTAAAGTTATATCTATTATTTCGTAAACGATCTTAATAAAAGAGCAAATTCACTATTTAGCTGTATTTTTTAATTCTAAATCGTTTTCGACAGTATTTTTTCAATTACATTATTTTCTAATAGTAGAGAAGATATTAAAACTTTAGCAAATAAATGAAACTTAATAATGTTATGTATCATCAGCAGCATATGTATAGTTACTATCTATTTTTCATACCCCTGAGTGATAAGAGTTTAAACCTCTATATTTTGTTTATATTTTTTTATAATGTGGCATTAAAAAATACATACAACCCTTTTTTAACAGCGATTTTAATTTATATGGCAAAACAACGTTTGCTGAGACAGTATCATTATATATCGGTATAACCTCAATGTCCCTGAACTTGTGGACCTTGTCTATTCGGCCTTATTCAGGCATTGTCCTATTACGTCTACGTAGCAATGCGTTTCCCTTTGTCACTGTTGTTATGCGATGCTAAATTTAGCATAGCTATTAGAGTATGTATTCGTATGCTATAAGGGGCCATCCACACAACATAGTCACACAAATTTCGTGACTTGATCCCTCCTGTGACTATGTCACAACTTTGCAATACTACATTAGTACACCGAGTGCAAATTTTTAAACAAAACAATTTAAACCTATTTTAAATTTTACAGATATATTTACTCGTAATTACAGAAGTTTATGAAACTATTACTTAATCTAAGACCTTTTTACCTTCATAAATAAAGAATTTGAATTTGAATTTAGAAACATTTAAAAGTTTTTCGTTATTATTTAAACGTTTTAATATAGGTGGAAATGGTATTGTTAGTAATATTATGTTATCTGTGGTAATATGGACTAATGACCCCATTGCAAATACTATGTCAGGTTGACCTCCACGCGGTTCCCCCTGGAAACCATCGTGATAAATTCCTAGTGAACGTGTCACGATGTGCTAACTGACCTGACCCCATGTTCATCGTATCATCCTCCACTGGTACCCAGCCAGCGTAACCGTTAGCACCGACAGGTGAGCTATTCCATTAACATAAAAAAACATGAAAATATATTAGATATATAAAAGTGACGTCACAAAACTTATGTTCACTCCTACCTTTTGTCACACAATGTCACACTTTCTCCCTATTCTCAACGTATGACGTATTTTATGGGTGGGCCTTAAGTAAGTTGTATCATAGAGCAGCGACGCACGAAGTTTTAATAGTCAACCTTCGACCAAAACTAATTTACTATTTTTTTATACTACGATGGTGGCAAACAAGCATACGGCACTAATCCATAAACTTTTATTTTATGTATTTCTGGCTATACGCAGATCGCTACGTAAGTTACTGGCGTTGAAAGTCAATAGCAATTATTCAAGTAAACGGCCATAACACAACAATAGCCTAAACAAAAAACAAACAGGCGAAATGAAATTAATGAAATTTGACGGCCTTGGTAGTCTAGCGGTTTAGCACACCGCTTTACTGTCGATGGTCGCGGGTTCGATTCCCCGCACGGCACAAACATATGTATGCATGAGTATGATTGTTTGTATCGGTCTGGGTGTTTACTATGTATAATATGTAAATAATTACGAAAAAAAAAATGTATTTGTACCAGTTATCTAGTACCCATAACACAAGCTTTAGCTAGCTCAATTTGGGTCTAGATGGCGCTGTGTGATTGTCTTGAGAAAATAATAAAAACAAAAATGAGAAATACAAAAAATAGAGTCCGTCATAGACTGCCAAACCTCGAAATCTGCATTCATAAGCAAAAAAACTTCTTGCCAAATTATAAGTAATAAATGCTTGTTACATTGAGGAAGTTAGTACGATTATTAAAAAAATATTGGTCGGACATTACGCATAAGAACGTACGTCTTAACATATATAGTTAAGGATAATACCCAATTAAGAGATTGATTCTAAAACCTTATTGTAATAATAATACCCCTGGACAATTCACACAACGCCATCTAGCCCCAAACTAAAAGAGCTTGTGTTATATACTAGACAAGTAGCCCTCCACTAAAGAATGAATCCAGAGATTATCCTTAATCTTTGGTTTACTGAAACGAATTTAATATTCTAAATCGTTTCAGTAAGTTCTTTAAGTTTTGGAAGACCATTTATCGAACAAGACTATATCATTATATAGTATAAAATTAAGTCGCTGTCGCCGTCTGCCCGTCCCTATGTATACTTAAATCTTTAAAACTACGCAACGGTTTTTGAAGCGATTTTTTTTAATAGATAGAGTGATTCAAGAGGAAGGGTTATATGTATAATATACATGTACATCCGGGCGAAACCAGGGCAAGTAGCTAGTGATAGCACTAGCTACATGCCCTGGTTTCGCCCGGGCCCGCTCCAATTGATAATAGCAGAGCAGAGCAGCAATGAAATGTGTAACAAAAACTTGGGAAATGTGACTCAGACGAAGTTACGCAGATCTGCTGGTCTCATAAACAAAGGTAAAACGCGTTTATTCAAAGGCAACGGTATTGCAAATTTATTTTAGTATGCTGAATTACTGTTCACAATAACAATAGTAATAATAACTCTTGCGCACAGATAAATAAATAACAATAAAGTACAATAAAAATGTTTCACAAAAGGCAGTCTTATCGCTATTAGTAATGTCTTACAGACAACCTGGTATTGACATATAGGGAGAGGGTAGGAGACGCATACTAGACACTATATTTATAATACACTTAAGGATAAACATACATTTTATAGGCAGAAATACATAAACTTACACACTAATACATATATATATATATACATACACGTTTATATCTAAAAATTACGTGTCACGTTGTTGTCGCGATGAACTCCTAAACTACTGAACCGATTGCAAATTTGATTTGCACATTGTGTGTAATTTGATCCAACTTGAAACATAGGATAGCTTACGTCTCAATTTATAGTCGCAATATTATTTTATTTAAGAACCTTAGCCACAACAACGCGTGGCCGGGTCTGCTAACATATATTGGATGAGAATAAAAGAAAAATCATATATAATTCATTTACAGAGAGAGATAATGAGATTTTAATTAATTTTTAAATATAGCATGTGATTGTGCTGGTCGAATGGAAAATGGCAAGGAGTTCCAGAGACAGTACAATGAAAAAATCGCTGTAATAATTAGAAGAATGAAATGTAAAGATTAAACAAACCCTTCTTGTGCTACATAATGCAGAACCTGGATTTCTTCATGTCTATAGTTATAGATAATATTATGTTATCTGTGGTTATAGTCGCTTTTAGTTTAATTACAATTCCAGTCACATACAAATATAAAAAAATGTTTGTTCAATTAAATCACCTATGACTAGCCATTTTTTATTCTACCACTCATTCGGAAATCAGACATATATCAAAAAGAACGAGCAAAAAACATACCTGTTGCGCTGTTAATTCAATTTATGGACATTTGTAAGACTTTATGTGACTACAAACTGCCAAATAGCAAATATTAGAAAAGTAAATAATTTAATGTTAAAATATAATAGTAACTTGAGTAACAAAACATATTGGTATCAATCATAGCGATCATATATAAATGTGCTATTGTCTGAAATCGTAACTTTTTTAAGCACCATAGACAATAAAATACAATTCCGAACTGATACACAAGAGCTATTAACTAAAGACCAGTAGGCATAGTGTCAAACATGGATTAAAGAGGATTACAATGGCGTGAAAAATTGTCATTCTCTCGCAAACAACTCACCCCTCGTTACAATGACCGAATGTCTAATAAAAAATAAACAATATTGAACGGTGCATCCTTGACATAAAGTTCAATTTAGAGCATGGACAAAAAAATTGAGGATGTTTGCAATGTAATTGGATGAATCTAACTTGGATTAAGTGCATTACAATTTGTATGTAAGTAAAAAACGTATGGGGGCCGCGATAGTTGCAGGTGCTCGTGTATTAAAAAATTGATGAGGTTCGGACTAACTACATCGTATATTTCTTTGTTTATGGTCGTTTCAGATAAAAAAATATATATTCCCTTATTCATAAAATCATTTTTTTTAAATATAAAGTTTTATTTATGAAATATTTTTTTAAATAAGTAAATATATCATACAAGTGTCGAAGTTTTCTAGGGGTTTTTTCAAGAACGGTATATTAAGGGTCGACAATGCGCACGTGACACCACTGGTGTTACAGACTTTCATAGACTACGGTAACCATTTACCATCAGAGGGGCCGTATGCATGTTTGCCACCATCGTGGTATAAAAAAATATAACGGCAACATGATAAGCGCTATCTAGTCCCAAATCAACAAAGTTCTAGACAACTAATATAAAAAGGTACTCGAGTACATTTTTTTATATACCTACAAAATACAAAGACCGAAATACAAATGTCCGTATTGTGCAGGGATCGAACCAGCGACCATCGCAAGACGGGGTTTTCACCGCTATACAACTTTGGTAATAAAATAAATTAATATGAACGTAACAAAATTTCTTCATACGTATCACAGACTTCATACTTTGTATTACAATATAACAATGCAACTAGTACATCAAGCAGGCCGTATGCTTATCTTTCACCGTTACGACATAAAATTAAACTAACACACAAACTAGCTTATTACAAAAAAAACGCCTAATATTTTAATTATGTAGTGTTTTGCGGCAATTTATTATTATAATAAAACTTCTTTAAACTCCCACAAAAAATATATGTCAGTTACTACAAATTTTATTTAGAAATAATATCTGAACGAAATATTCTGCTAAAACTAAACGGATTGGTACCTATATTTTACAAGACTATATTAAGTTTGAAAACTATTATATTACAATATTTATGTAATTGGGACGGCAAACAATACCACCCGATGGTAAGTGGTAACTGTCACCTAAATAAGTACATGAACAGCACCACAGATATCGCGTCATGGGATGTCTGTGGTATAACTCATGCGTTGACATTCCAGATGACTATAATATCATACTTCCAAATACCTAATAATAAAAATAAACATTTTTATCTGTCTCAATTAATAAACTATTACCAGTGCTGCCTATAATAAAATTTAGGAGTAATAATCGAGACAAAAATGTCTGTAAATCAGAGGGGGCAGTAAGTCCACTCTCTCTGCTATTCTGCTATAGTCTATCAGTAAATTTTTAAATTAAATTCAACGACAACTATAGCATTTAAGTTCAAAATTATCCTCTACGAGTCTTAGTGAACATCAAAAATTTACAAAATTAAAATCTAAAAATTAGTCAAAACATATCCTGTAAGTTCTCAACAATATCTCGAACCTATATTACGGACATATTCTATAAAGCTTTTCAAATAGGTGAGGTAGAAGGCACAGACGATTTTAAGTCTACCTCGCTAAGTCTCCAGAATATACTGTTTCTAATTTAAAGAACTTAACTAATAACTCACCTGACCACTGTCGAAATGGTAGGCCATTTTAAAACACTGTTACTAAAACAAATCTTAAACACATTTAATACAGTCTTTATTAGGATGTATTGCATCGGGAAATCATCAGGAAATGTGAAAATCTATTGGCACAACTACTGTTATGTTGTCATGGAAACGGGACTATTTCCAGCCAGGACTATGATGGATTTTCCTTCCACGCACACTGTCCTTAAAGGTGAACGACCTTTTGACGTTGAATGAAAAATTGGCGCGCGTGTCGACTTTTCTTTTTAATTGCTTTTTTTTAATGCAGTGAGTTCTAGTTTTGATTTATAGTTGTTATTCTATTGAAAATGAGCCTACTACATGTTAGAATAAAGTAGATATCAGTAGGTATATGTATATTGACCTATTATGATTATTATACATCGTTTACTGTCTGATTGATGTCCATAAGATGAGTTATAAAAATGAATTAAGTTATGAAAAATTCCAAATGAAGGTATTGGTTAAGGCGATATCACTCTATTGACTATTTATAATAATATATCTTCATGATTCTTATCTCGGACGGGGTAGTCAGAGGTATTTTTTTAAATGATGATTCTGGAATGAAGCCCCCCCTGCCCTAAAGGTTTATGCTGGTGGGACACTAGTGGAGGATGATAAGATGAGTCTGTCCTGACAAATTCACCAGGCATTTATCACGATGGCATTCAGTGAGAGTCACGTGGAGGTCAATCTGACATGGTTCATTGCTAGCAATGGGGTCATTAGTCTACATTACTAACAATCCCTTGGACCCCAGTCAGAGGTATTATCAACTGTCGACATCGTGGCCAACGTCACTTGATATACTCACATTTTATTGGGTGTATTTGAATATAGTAAGGGACAATCCTATTATTTACCTACCTAATCTATGACAAACCAAAATAATATCTTGGATATCTATCAGATAATTTGGTTTGTTACCGACATTTCCATCAATAGAGAGTTATTTAAAAATTTTGACACACAGTTTTTGTGTTGGTTAAATTGAAGATTACAACTTTTCGGTCAGAGTAGTAGATACCACAGATAAGATAACATTACATAGTCCTAAACCACTAAGCTGCATTGCTCTCTAAAATTATTCCTAACCTATAATTAAAATAAATAGGTATACGTACACAAATTTCTAACAGATATAATGACATCGTAAAACCTTATCTACATAAAAAAAAAGTCAGTCGATTAAAACTCAATTTTCTTGTTTACTTTTTACTCCATCTACGGCATTCTACAGTACGAGTATATACGTATATGTACGGTATATAGCTGTATACGGAGACGCGTGAGCCGGGTGACTTGGAGATTGTACAATGTTGCGTGCTGTACAGCTATGTGGATGTCGCCGTAAAGAAAATTAGCGATTACCATGACCTTGACTGGATACATTTGTATTTGTTGTGTACCCATAACTGCTTATTATTACAGCATTAATATCGTTTTGCGAGTACATTAGCCGCGGATGTCGCGGCCCGGTACATGAATCTTTGCATAAATTATTTTATTTTGTGACCGATTATATCAATTTGAAAGCGACTTCACGTTTTATTAGGGCTGACTGTACATACTACGTTCGCTATTTAAAATGGAGGTTAATATTGTAGTTTATGATATATACATACATGTCTTTTCACAAATTCGCGTAAATTTATTAATATTTCCACAATATTAACACGTCTTGTAAGCGTATCTTAATGACAGAAACAAATTACAAAATTAATAAAAAAAACATACCTATTTGTTCTTTAAAAAAATCTAATGATCCTAATTCAATTCAAGTGAAGTGGTACTGTGGTACACTGTTGTACCTCCGATAGTTGCCGGTTTGAATCCTCGCTCGGCACAAACACTTGTATTCATTAGTACCTATTTTCTACATATACATATATTATGTATGTATTTAAAAATATGTTTGTATGAATTGTCTAGTACGCATAACACAAGCTCTGCTTAACTTGGGACTAGATAGCGCTGTGTGTTGTATTGTATTGTGTCCTGATACAACACACTGTTATAATTTGGGATATCTATCAGATGTTAATTTAATAGACATCCATTGGGGATGTTACAGCCCTAAATTGGATGCAAATCATGAGCCTTCTAAATGTAGTTGACAACTTGAATTTACAACAACGCTACAATAGTTTACGACAACTTCAGTAAGAACGAAAGTTAAGTGCAGTCTCTATTTTCATAAACAGTTTTCAAAGTGGATAATAAAAAGGGCTTTTCATGTGAAGGCAGGATTTAATTTATTACAATTTATTTATAATAAATAAATGTAAATCTATAAATGTTATTAATGTTATAAACCAGAAAGTTTGTGAGTATGGATGGTTTTTACTCTTTCACGCAAAAACTATTGAACGGATTTGGGTGAAACTTTATAGCTGATACATCAGAATAACATATAGGCTATATTTTATATTGAAATTTAATGCGGGAGAAACCGCAGGCACAGCTAGTAATAAATAAATGTAAATCTATAAATAAATTTATAATAATAAAATTTTATTTCTCTTATCAATAACCCCCAAACTTGACCTGTATCCTGGGGGATGGGAGCGCGGATACCATAAAGATGTAGTATGTGTACTCACACTTGACTGAAGCTATAAAGGGCAGCTGCAGCCAATAGCATTAGAGTAGTCCGTAATATAAAAAAAAACTTAATAATAATTACATAAACCTTCAGAAGGACACAACAAAGTCCTTTGCTTCTGTTGCACTTATTTGAGCATTAGCTGACCCGAGCAAATTCGTCTGCGTCACACTTACTTGACATTTATCATTATATTTCGCCCAATTTACATAATATCTTTTTAAATTATAGCCTCATGTTATATTACGAGCGTTCTGTGCCGAATGTCTCCTCGGAACATCTTTTTTCCTACAGCCACTGCCCCATTTATTTCAGAAAATGTGGGAAAGATGACGCTAGTGATTCCCGAGCGTAACTTTTCTTTTTTTGAATTATTTACATTGGGATCAAAGTTCTTACGGCTCCGTAATGGTAAGCAATTACCGCCGCCCATGAGCACCTGCAACACCAGATGAATTGCAAGTGCGTTGCTGGCTTTTAAGATAGAGGATAAACTAATCTCTTGAATGTTTCTATATCGTATCCATTCGGAAATATCATTGCTGGAAGGTGATTCAACAATGTAATTGTACGTGGCGAAAAGTTTTTTGAAAAACATACTGTGGGGGATCGTCATTCATCCAGATGATCATGATATTTTAGTTTCTGGCGGGTAGTGTGATGATGAAATTCAAGTTCAATTTAATTCAATTCAATACAGTGATGCTTTCTAAATACAGTGCCACTCTCAATCAACTTTTCTACGATAATGCCAAAAATCGACATAATATTCTGTTAATCTTTACATAGTATAAAATGAAGTTACTTGTCGCTGTCTGGTCGCTTAGATCTTTCAAACTACGCAACGGATTTTAATGCAGTTTTAGCAATAGATAGAGTGATTCAAGAGGAAGGTTTATATATAACACATCTATACTCGTGCAAAGCCGGGGCGGGTAGGTGGTAGAACTATATGTATGTACAAAAAAATATGACTATATAATGATATATATACTTTGAATTTCGTTCTTAAAAACAATGATACATACATATATACCTACATACGTATCTGATTAGATACAACTACGATACCGCGATATGACTCATATTATAAGTCTACATATGTATGAAAGCTATTAAACTTATCATAAAGAAATCATAAACATTTCATCACAAGTGTAATTCTAGAGTCTTTTTCAAATATTCTTAGATTTACAATAATATTCATTGACAATATTATATATCCCTTTAAGTAATTTTATATAGACTTTAACTTCCATCAAAATCAAAGAGAAAAAATAATTAATATTTAAATTATTTACAAATTGCACATATAAAATAAATAATATTGTTCGAGTTATATTAAATATAAGGCTAGTACACATTAATATAATAATATTTCTGAATGGTTCTCACAGCGCCATCTAGTCCCAAGCTAAGCAGAACTTGTGTTATGGATACTATACAATTAATATATATACATAGACCAATTTTAATATACATAGAAAACACCCAGACCGATACTAACAATCATACTCATGAATACAACTTTTGCACCGTGCGAGGAATCGAACCCGCGACCGTTTGATGTAAGGCGGTGTGCGAAGCCGCTAGACCACAGAGGCCGTTGTATAGAACATTCTTTATCACTTATGTATGTTATTATTTTTTTATCACTACCATTATCGTCCAGTTATCAACATCAGATCGTGAGATTCTTAGTCGATACAATCCCATAAAAATACACTTGGAAAGTCGAAAGGTAGAGCTACTGCAAAATTAATGCGTGTTATAAAAATACGAGGCAGCACATCCCCTCCTGGGTCCTCAATTACCATGAGGCACCTGCGGCCCGGGACGGTCAGGATCGATAGGCGGGGATAGGCGGGGTCGGCCCGGGATTGGCCCATCTCCAGTAGGCGGAGCGAGGATGCTGTGCAGATGTTACCTCTAAAGGTTGTAACACAAGTACTGCAATATAAAATAAATTCATTATTATTAAATTACTTTTAGAAATATTAATTTCTATCATAGATAAGTTAATTAGTTTCTATACACACATGTATAAATACGTTTTTTTTTTCGGAATACTCTAATGCTATTGGCCGCAGATCCTTTACAGCTTCACCGGGCGATGGCACTCCAAACCCGCGGAAGGACTTATAGAGCAAATGAAGGCCAACTCCCACCTGACTGATGCAACTTTAGTCTGAGAGCACCGCTAGGGGTTCGAACTTCGGCTTAGGTTCTCGTAATTTCTATCCCGTTTGAATTGGTACAAATAGTATAAATCGTGTAGTTTCTATCTGTACATTTTCTTTTAACCAGATTCTGAAACAGTTTCCACTGTACTTTCGAGAAATCCTTCCGGAATGTTTATATCCCCCTAACTTTATAAATATAATAGTTTTGAATGGACACTGAGTGGATTTTGCTAAAAAATTAAGGTAATATCACTACATAGTATAAAATAAAGTCGCTGTCGCTATATGTCCTTTCCTGTGTATGTTTAAATATTTAAAACTACGCAACGGGTTTTGAAACGATTTTTATTTTTAATAGATAGAGTGATTCAAGAGGAAGGTTTATATGTATAATACATGTACACCCGTGCGAAGCCGGGGCGAGAAGCTAGTAACTAATACATCAATATAACACATCCCTATATAGTATAAAATTTACTTATGTTTTGTAAATACATACATAATATAGGTACATGGAAAACACCAAAACCAATACAAACAATCATACTCATGAATACAAAGTGAGAGGAATCGAACCCGTCGCCGTTTTAAAATAATGCTTATTAAACCGCTAGACCACTGAGGTTGTCAAGAAATATGAGAATGTTATAAACAGATACCAAATTAATTAAATTAGATAAAGTCAACACATTCTAATTAAAAATTACGTCAGAAATTTAATTATAACTAGCTGTACACGCGACTTCGTACGCGTGGAATTTAACTTTATTTTTCTAAAATAAAAGTAGCCTAAATTACTCTTTATTACATCAGCTACCTGCCAATAAAAGTCCCGTCAAAATCGGTCTAGCCATTTCAGAGATTACCCGAAACAAACTGACAGACAAAAATTGTAAAAAATGTTGTTTTGGTTTATATATTATATTGGTATTTATATTCATATGCATGTAGTAAGAAACGGTTATTTCAATACTACAAACAGACACCGCAATTTATTTATATGTAGATATAGATACATATATATGTATAGATAATATAACAGCTTAACTATAAAGTAACTTATAATTAAATTCCTTTTTACACAAATTTATTGTACAGATAAATATTATTTTAATAAAATATCCTTTCTATACACGTCCCATATTTGTACCCGCCCACGGGAGGGTGGTCCATCCCTCACAGGAATATAAAACAAGGGATGCTGTGTTACATCTCAGTACACGTTCATATCACTTACAGTGCTGTGGGAAAATGTTCTATGGATTTTAAGACTGTTACAGTGTTTTGTATATGTGCTGAAAAACTGAGAACAATTTTCAAAACGACACATCAACGTAAGTTACTGTCACCTTTTCAGGCGAGTAAGGATTTATTTTTAGGAAATTATTCAAATCAAATATCATTTATTCATATAGGACATTTTAGGCGCTTATAACCGTAATTTTTTTTGTTTTAATATTCTTTCCCTATCTACCATTTCAGTATACCGATTCAGTTGAGAAGAGCTGGCAAGAATCTCAACTGAATTCTTTTTTTTAAGTCAGTTTATTTACAATATATACTTATGTAGATGTCTATGTCTAACATTAAGTGAAAATCTCGTGCATGAACTACTATTGCTCTGCACGTTTGTCATTCAAATAATCGTTTAATGTGTAATAGGCTTTGTTTGTTGTGTATAAATATGATTTAACAGATAATTCTAGTATATCCTTCGGTATCTTATTGTAAATTTTGATACCCATTCCCATAAAAGACCTATTGACATTTTGTGAACCATAATTAAGAGGAACAAGTTTGTCTTTAAATTAATGTTATAAATATTGCTGTTTCTTGGAAATAAGTGAAGATTTTTGTGTACAGATAGAATATTTTCCTCTTTTAAATTTCTTTTTATTGAGTCACGACTCAAAGACTTTCAAATCGCTGGCTGCCTTAGATAAATTAGTAACAATCGCCTATATCAAGGGAGATAGCGGAACACCAACCGATATTGTATTTTATGATATCCCATATTAAATAATTACAAATCAACACTGAAATTTGTATAAGAAGAATTTTAGGAAATTTGTAATCTAATTCTTAACTTAAAAATACTTAAATGTTTAATGTGAAGAGTGTTTTCGAGCTAAGAAAAATAGACAAGAAACTCAGTATAAAAGGAGTAATTTAGGCTACTATTAGAATAGAATAGAATAGAATAGTAATCATTTATTCAAATAAACTTAAGCACTTTTGAATAGTAATATTTTTTTATCTACCGCTATATATTTTAGAAATCTTTATTTTTATTCCACACAGACGAATTCGCGAATATCAGTTAGTTTAAATAGAAAATTGCACCCAGTATTATATACTTAGTAAAATCCACTTAACTTAAATATTTAATTTTTTCCAAGATAAAATAACTTATGTTGTCTTATTTATCGGAAAGATATTATAATATTATGTCTGTTATTTTAGATAATAAGTATTATCATATGTTATCGTAAACAAATATGTAATAATTTTAATATCGATCGCTATACATCGCCGTGAGTAGAAAATTGGCTAAATAATCAACAAATGTACAAGTAGGGAAAGTAAAGAAAATATTACAGACAACACAAAAATATTTAACACACTTGACGGCCTCAGTGATCTAGCAGTTTAGCACACCGCTCTACTTCCGATGGCCGCGGTTTCGATTCTCCGCACCGTACAAACATTTGTATAGACGAAAACATTTATATCAGTTGTCTAGTATCCATTGCAAGCTCTGCTTACCTTGGGACTAGATGATGTGTGAATTGTCCAGGTGAAAAAAAAAACATCACACGATTCGACATACCATCACAGCTATTCCAGATTGATGGGGTAGTCAGAAGAATATTTTTTTATACTTTGACGATATTGAATGATATTTATTTATTTTAATTTTAATTCAGATTACATCCATATTGTGTTAGTAAAAACTTATAAAACTATGTTAGTAACTTATAATATACATATACGTAGATATATTATTTCATATATATGTGTCCACGTCCAGAAGCACTGGGTCCACAATGCAACGTTATCCAGTGCCTCTGGAGCGGACAATCAGGTATATTCGCAACAGTTTTTAGGATGCTGTTTGAGCTCCCCCGAATTCTAGACATCAGTGATGCAGCTCTTTTACGCATTATGGTTTCAAATCCATCTACCCGCGCTGCTGCAAACATCTCTGATGCGCTACAGAAACAAGGGTGCCCCAACAACATATAAAACTGATTAGCGGTTTAGCAGGTTCAATTCCTCTCAAGATGCTGACATTGGTATTCATGAGTATGAGTATGACTGTTTGCCTCGGTTTTGGTGTTATTTGCATATATTTTGGATGATAATGGACTGATGCTAACGGTTTACGCTAGCAGGGCAACAGTGGAAGATGATAAAATGAACATCAGGTCAGTTACCTCTTGTGGTAGTTACCCCAAAATTCACTAGGAACTTATTATGATGGTTTCTAGGAGGACTCGCGTTGAGGTCAACCTGACATGGTAAATTGCTAGCAATGTAGTCATCTTTTTGATTAATTTTTAGTTTAATGAAAACAATTCAGATGAAATTCGGAAATTTATATTGACACACAAAGTTTTTAATTTCAGCCAATTTTGGTATCTTGACTTATTTGTAAATTAAGACAGTAAACCACAAGACACTCTCAAAATATTGTATCTGAAATATATTGTTTGCAATTTAAAAGAGAGTATTTTATCAGAAAGAATTTCCTGAAATATCCTTCGGTACGTACTGATAACGGATTCCGCATAACCAGCCAGAAAATCATCGTAAATATTACAATCTGTATCGTTACCTTTTAAAATGTAATTACATCGTATTTTTTTAGGTATGGTAATGGAATAATCTTACCTAAAAATGGCTGAAGGAGTTAGGTTAACAATGGTTTAAACTTTAGTAAAGTACTATAGGACTGCATATTCAGCGTACCTACGACCAATTATTTTCGTTACCTTTGCAGTTTCCAGCCGCTCATACTCTTCTAGTATATTTCTTCCCATTAATTAATATTTGAATGACCATAGTATTATATTATATAGCCAAGTGGTATATGCACACTTTTTTAGGTGTCTTGACCTCGCTATATTATAAGGGTGACAAGATAAAGATATTTATGGACGAATTTAATAATATGATAAAAAAAATACACTAAATACTTTCGCATTAGACTATATTAGAATCCAGTTGTATTCATAAAATAGCAAAGTAAATATTTACCCTGAAACATATAACCAATAAATATCAAAATGCTTGTGTTAAGTTAATTTGAATAAATTAAAGAATTATGACCAATAATATAAGCTAGAAACAGAAAGCAAGGAAAGAAGAATTGCAGCCACCGGCCAACTATCGAATCGATTCGATACGCTAACCGAACACAATTCGATTACGCGAAGGGTTGCAAGGGGCGATATAAAAAGAATAAATACGGATTTATTATCCCCTAAAGAGCCCGCTTAGTATGAGGTGTGAACGCGTGCTGTATTATTTATAACACTACCCCCATATTTGCGGACATCAAATTTGATTTGGACGGCATGCGGCAGTCAAAACAAGACTTGAGGCAAGGGTTAGTAAAGATGTTTTAGTTGAGGTAAATTTGTTCTACGTGACAACGAAATCAAAACAAGTTTCAATTGTATTTTGTCCTATCGCCTCTACATTTATATGTATAAATTCAAATTCAAATTCAAAATATCGTTATTCATGTAGGTCTATTACAGACTCTTATGATATGTCAAATCTACCGTCAGTTCGGAATGATTTCGAGATGAGAAGAACTGACAAGAAACTCAGCTCGTATTTTTTTTTAATGTTGTACATATTTACAATAATACTATTTCATTTAAATTCAAATTTTGGAGAATAGAGTGACCACCAGCATATGCTATATAAAATCAAATAATCTAATCAGTGTTCGCAACCTGAACAGACCAGTCCCCACAAGCAGCACCCGTTCACGAGTATGACGGATGAGCCAGCCATCATTGCACTCAACCAATATTAGAGGGAGCACATCGACCCGGCCCACCACACCGCCACAAGTTTGGACTTTATAGCGAATATGACTGTTTCAAGTTACTCCACTTTGTCATTTATATTATTTACAGTATAAACTGTACCAATCACAGTAATATATGTCATCAATATGTCATTACTAAATTTAGAATAAGTTTCTTTAGTGTTTATTACATTATCTATGTCAATGGGAAAGTTATATACCTCATAACAAAAGTTAAAATTGTAATTAAGTCCACGCATTGTAGTCATTCAAGTAGTCGTTTAAGTGTATTTTTTACATGTGTCTTAAATTAATCTTAATTATAATCAATATTGATACAGCAAGAATGATAATATTTTAAGGAAGGTGTTACATATGATTGTGGATGATTATAAGGGCAGAGAAAGGCCGAAAAAGAGATGGATGGACTGTGTGAAAGTGTAAGAAAAGGAGTAAATAACGAGATGACTGCGATCCCTGTTCGCAGTCATCTCGAACATTACTGGAAGAGAAAAATATTACGCCGACCACAAAAAAATTGAATAAGCAAGAAGCAGATGATATTACGTTGACGCAGATGACGTTGGCAGAAAAAAAAGTAATTACACAGTTTATCGTCGGCATTAATGATTCCCATAATAAATATTTTTTTTTTAAATATTTCGATCTTTCATCTGAACCAGGAGTTGAACCTGTTTCACCTGAAAAAGGATTCTGATACACTACCCCTATTTTATAAGGAACAAATAAAGATTATTTATTCATATTAGCCATTATTTATATTGTTAACCGGATCTTAACACGAATACTTTTATGGTAAATAAAGATATTTAGAGAGTACGATTTGGTTAACAATTAAGTGTTTTGATTAAAACTGTTTTTGAGTTTTAGCCAGACTTACGAACAGCAATTTATTTATATATAGGTACTTCGATTTTATGAATTTAAATATAATTTTTAAGTAAGATTTCATTGTAAATATCGATTCTTAATTTGGGGCTAGATGGTATGGGATAAGAATTTATTGTTTTCAAATAAATTTATCTTCAACACAATATCTTGTAGCTATTAATGATATATGTTTATTTTTCAGAAATACACTATGAAGAGCTGGCTTGAGGCAGCTGGTAACATGGACGACGGGTCTCTGCAGTGCATGCTAGCCGAGCCCCGAGAAGCTCTACTGCCCATCACCGGGAGAGAGAACCTTGCTCCCAGGAAGAGGTTCGTACAATTCTTAACAATAATAATAACTCTGAACAATTCACACAGTGTCATCTAGTCCCAAAGTCTACTTCTAGATTCGTAGTTATTATTATTATAATTTAATAAATCTGGATATGTATTTAGTTATCATATTTTTTCTTGAATCTAACTATATTCCGCACTGGCGGTATATTATTATTATTATGGTACAGACCATCAAAATAACTGCATTAATGTTGGTCGATTAGTAGAGCAACATTAATACGGTTTTTAGTTATTTTGATTTGAAAACTCATACCTACGTACATTTTCTTTTCTACAGAGAAAGAGCACTCGAAGCCTGTTCTCTTTCCGAAGAAGCTTACCTCTCCAGCGGCGCAGGCTCCCCATGCGCAGGTCTATCTCGCGAAGAAAGAAGAAGGAGACGCAGAGCCACCCTCAAGTACAGAACAGCTCACGCCACAAGAGAGAGAATAAGAGTAGAAGCATTCAATGCAGCTTTTGCAGCGCTAAGAAGACTACTCCCAACTTTACCTCCAGACAAGAAGCTATCGAAAATAGAGATCTTAAGGTTAGCTATATGCTATATAGCATATTTGAATCATGTACTGGATGCGTGAATATCATCTTGGGAAACAATTTTGTTGCCTATATTTATGTTTCTTTTTGGAGGGAGATGAGTTCAATTGTTTTTGACACTTGTCAAAATGCTACTGTAGTCAAGTGACATAAAGAATGGCTGTTTGGGATTAGGATCATTGCCTTTCCCAAAGGGATAAATAGTATTGTGGACTTCATAATTTATTGCTGGCCATTTGAAGTCCACTATAAATAGAAAACAACCACGATGTTGGCAAAATCACCGAACTGGTTTGGTGAATTAAGATGAAGCCATTTAAATTAAAAGAACTTTTTCCATTCCTTGGAAAGAGTGTAGAGAAAGTCCGCACCAGCAAGCAGGACAGGAGGTTCGGAATACGGAACAAGCAGTTTATACAGATTTTATTCAATGGGTTTCTTGGATATAACTTTCATAAACTATATGTAAATAATAATAAGTTATTGTATTTATATAAGCGCTTTACTACAGAATGGCTACAGTATTTAACCAATTATTTTTCGTTATTTGTAATTGCCAATACAAAGTTTGTATGTAAGAGAAAATGTTTGAAAAATGGTGCAGAAAAATAAAATCTTTTGATATATTTTTTGTTATCCGATCAAGCTTTTTATGAGAGAAAATATTTAAAAACGGGTACAGCAAAATATTGGAATGTAGATTTCTATTACATATGTAAACGACAGTTTTGATCTCATTTTCATTAGTGTAGTGGTACCAGTAAAGGAAGGGTGAGGGAAGGACAGAACTAGCGAAGTGATAGGTAGGTACCAAATTGCATATCTAGATGATTAAAAAAAATAGGCTTTGTCCACTAAAAGTCGATGTAAATAGTTTTAGTCATTCTAAATATTGTTTAGCATTAGATTGTATATACGCTTATTCTAAGTTATATAAATAAATTGTTATGGAAGTCAATATAAACACTTTTTAATACTTAACATGTCATATCGGATATATTATCACTAACCTCGATCAACCGCGTTGTAGTTACAAAATAATCCAGTTAACTAAGTACATTAAGTGCAGTTGACCGCATTTTTAATCTATGTTAAATACAAATATAACCTAATAAAAAAAATTAATGTCAAAGTTATTGTTAATTATCGTCTTATAAGTTTGTATACTTACAAATGATAATGACACTTTGTTGTTACGATTAATTTTTAAAGTTTACGATATCTTACTAATATTATAAACGCGAGAGTATGTGAGTGTGGATGGATGTTTGTTGCACTTTCACGCAGAAATTACTGAACGGATTTTGATTGAAATTTTACAGCAATATAGCTTATACATAACGCATAGAATATAAATTAAAAAAAATACATATTATATAAATTGGCCGAATTATAATGATAAATATCAAATAAGGGTGATACAGTTCAACCCTTATTTGACATTTATATATTTATTATTAGTTAACAATGCTATAGATGTCAAATTTTCCGAAACCTAGATACCAGACCAGATAGCAGCAGACAACCCATGAATATAAGATTTGGTCTATATGACGCTGTATGGATTATCGAGCGACAAAAAACTCTGTTTAAAGCAGACTTTATGAAATTTATTAAAGTTCCTAAATTAAAATTAAAAAAAATATATAAATAAAAAATATATTATCTATACCAGAGAATAGAGAGAGAATACCAGCGTCGTGGCACCCCGTCACGACATATTCTGAGCGGATATGCATAAAATTTATATAAGCGATTGGTACTATGAAATTTATATAAACCGATAAAATGCAAATTAAAATTTAAAAATTATTTTCAGTATTGCTATGTACGAAATAAACAATTTTTTTTCTTTCTTTAAATAAATGTTTTTGATAATTATCAACAATATAGATATAAGAAAAATATATACCATTATTTATAAAATGAAATCAAAGTCTTCCTTTTATTTTCTATTATATAATGACTTTAATAATAATTTTATGAACAAGTTAGTCATATTGATAATTTAACTGGACCAGACAATGTAATTATGCGAAACATAAGATTACAACGAGGATATAGTAATATATCTACATAATAAGCAGGCTAGTCAATTGAAATTATCAATAATTATTTATCAATGATTAGTAATAAAGATCTAGAAATAGATCATTATAAATATTGATCGTTTGTTATTAATAATAACTGCATGCTTACTCATTTTTTTTGTGACCGTAGTTATAATATATTATTATATTAATATTTTATCGAATTATTTGTTAGGTTATCGATTTATTCAGTTTGGTGCAACGAGAATAGAACCCCGACGCCGACGAGTTAACACTAGGCTTCCAAGCCACATCCGTACTCTATTCATTGAGTGATGATGCCTTCGTTCAGAGAAATAAAGTAGAAAATAATAGATAAGCTTTTATTCAAATTAAAAAAAAAACTTACATTTAAGCGTTTTTGAATAGTCACAGTTATCCTTCTTCCAATTGACGGCCCCGGTGGTCTAGCGATTTAGCACACCGCCTTACTTCCTAAGGTCGCGGGTTTGATTCCTCGCACGGCACAAACATTTGTATTCATAAGTATGATTGTTTGTATCGGTCTGTGTGTTATCTATGTATGTATGTATTTACGAAAAAAAATCAATGTATTTGTATCAATTTTCTAGTACCCATAATACATGCTTTAACTAGCTTAACTTCGGTTTAGATGGCGCTGTGTGAATTGTCCTGAGATTATTATTATTATTATTCTTTTAATCTACCGCTCATTCAGAAAGAAGAACGAGCAAGAAACTTTCATATTGCTACTGTAAATAATCGTTGTAACTTTACATTTTTAAGTCGATTTGTATGAATACAAATGACCAATATGGGTGTAGACTGTAGATCCAATAACGGTCAGAATTTGATCACTAATAAGGCAGGTCGTAACGGTTCTGGTCAGGTTTCTGTATTGAATATTTGTATTCTCACACATGCTACTGGCAGCGGAATTGAAACAAAATAATATCTTACGTAATTATTATAGTAGGTACTAGTAGGGCTGTACCCGTGACTTCGTCCGCGTGGAATTTATCTTTATTTTTCTAAAATAAAAGTAACCCAAGTTACTCCTTATTACACCACCTACCTGCCAATAAAAGTCTCGTTAAAATCGGTCCAGCCATATCAGAGATTAGCCGGAACAAACAGACAGACAAAAATTGTAGGAAATGTTATTTTGGTGTATGTACCGTATTTATATTAATATGCATGTAGTAAAAAACGGTTATTTCAATATTACAAACAGACACTCCAATTTTATTTATATGTATAGGTTTAGGGTAGGCAACGCGCACGTGACAGCCCTAGTATTTTAGGGTTCCAGCCTACGGACACATACGCTACGGTACCCGTTTACCATCAGATGGGCCGTATACCTACTTCTTTGTCACCTACTTTGTATAAATATATAATATTATGTTATCTGTGCTATAAATAAAAATACAATTATTTATAAACAATTTACTTATATTTACAGTTATTTGTTACAACAAGAATTGTGATAATTTATAACAAATTACAACAAATACAACATTCATAATAAGTCTTATATCTTTATAGGTACTTACATAATTAGAAAGATATGCTAAATCTAGGAACTAACATGAAATGCTTTACTGATATTAATTGAATTATTATTGCATTAAATTCTAACATGAAAATGTCAGGCATTAATTTGCAAATGTATACATACAATAATAATAGGTTTATTTTAATAATTATTTACTCAAATAGTTATAAAATCATATTACATTATTACTCACATTTAATTTTATTGATTATTTCTAAATAAATAAATAAAATTATCATATTGTACATTCATGAAATGATCATCTGTTAAGAACTCTGTAATAAAGTAATAACATTTTTTTATTATAATTTATTTTAATTTACTTTTAAATTTCTTTATTGCATTCTTTTCAATTCGTCAGGTAGTTTATTATATATATTTTTAGACATGTTTATAAAAGATTTTGACATGAGTGTTGTTCTAGATCTCGATGTCTGAGCTTGAATTCTATTTAACATGATTGCAATGATGCTACCATTACTATATATTTTAGTATATGTTGTACTTCTTTATAATATGTATAATAATAATAATTAAATTAACAATCACTACTGTTGAACTGTTTATTTAACTAGCCGTAAGTTAGTAGTTAACCCGTACCGGCTTCACCAGATGCATTGCAAATCTTTGAACTTCTCGGCTTGTTCTAGACCAGTGATTCCCAAAGTGGTCTATATCGCCCCCCAGTACTACGTAACTGTAAGAGGTCTGTCGTAGACCTCTTACAGTTTATCATAGACCGCTGGGGCGGTCAAGTATTTTTGTTATCTTATTGTTTTTATTTTTTTTACAATTATTTTATTTACAATTATCTTATTGTTTTTACTTTTTGTTTTTAACAGTAAACTTTACTACAGTTAGAAATTTACTAAAAACTCAATACCAGGTAAGAATGGGGGGTCTACCCAAAACCGAAAAATATGGCAAGGGGTCTACGACACAAAAAAGTTTGGGAACCTCTGTTCTAGACCATAACACGTATGTATTATACATATAAACGTTCCTCTTGAATCACTCATCTATTGCTGATAACTGAATTAAAATCCGTTACGTAATTTAAAAGATATAAACGAACAGACAGCGACGGCCATTTTTTTTATACTATGTAATAAAGATACCACGATTTCATTTGTCATTTTATTGATAAGTTATTTTTGAATAAATATAACATTAAACAAGTATTCTACTTATTTATCTATCTAGAAAGAATTTTGATTAATTCTATCCCCAAGGGTATCCCCTTGGGGATAGAATTAATCTTTCTTAGCGGATGCCTACGTCATAACATCTACCTGCATGTCAAATTTCAGCCCGATCCGTCCAGTGGTTTGGGCTGTGCGTTTATAATAAAAAATAGGGGATGAAAGTTTCTATTAAACTTTGTCAATTTTAAACCGATCGGGCTGAGACTTAGCATGCATAAATCTACTATGATGTAATCGTCCCCTAAGAAAGGATTTTGATAAATTCCACCCCTAAGGGGATAAATTAACGCAAGCGAAGCCGTGGGCAAAAGCTAGTATAAATTAAAACTGTTGAATCAGAACTATTTTCAGTAATTATATGCAGTCAGATTACAGATAATTAAATAACATTAATGTTGATTCACAAATGTTTAACCTCCACGTCGGGATCCTCACATTCTGTCTGCTTTGCAATCGGTTCTTGTACATTTGGTGTTATTGGTTTCTTTTTATTGCTCTGTGTCAAATTGTTTGCATAACTCAATAGAACAGGAAAGAAGATCATGCCATGGATAAAACCTAAAATGACCAAACTGAAGAACATTCTAAAGAAAAAGACTTCTATTATTTCAGTATAGGAAAACGCTAGGACGATTACAGGAATGTTGGTGAACGTTATGCCAGTAATGATAGTGGAACCGACTTTCTTTATGGCGTCCTCGACTCGGTCACTGCGAGGCGCATTACTTGTTGCAAACGCATGTCCAATATGACTACAAAACTCTACACCTATCGCTATAGCCACTATGAGATTAATAAGCGAAACAGCATTCAATGGAATGTTCCAAATGTACATGACGCCCATCAAGTTCAAGAGAATCAAAACGGTGGTGAATATTACGCATATTGTGGTCAAAAAATTGAAGCCCGAAGCCAATAAATTGAAAACGAAAGCGCCAAGGATACAAAATCCTAAAGACATGAAGGCATCACGCCACATTGTTAGATATTGCTCATAATACACATAAAAGACAGAATATGGAAATACTTCAATGTCTAGACCGGTATGATTTTTTATAGCTTTTGTTATATTTTCACTAATCTCATAACCGTAATATACAGCCGATATGTAGTCCTGAGACGTCACTAAAGTACTATGAAAGGCCATAAAATTACTGTCGAGCACAGTAGCGTGTCCTTCAGAGTCTAAAACATAAATGACATTATTAAAATAACTAGCTAAACCACCTTTATTGCATATTTCAGTGGGAGCATCATTTAAGAAAAATGGTATGTATCTATTGAAAGCTTCATGTCCTGGCCTTAAACCATTAGCCCATTCGTTTCTTTCGATTTGACAATATTGACATTCGGGTGATAAATCTACACTAGAACAGAAGCTACCGTCAGTCGTGTTATATTTACAACATGCACCGTATAAACCTGACCAATCAAAAAAATCGTCTAACCAGGAATTGGAACTTTTAGCCATATAAGTTATATCACTATGTTGAACTGATAAAAATATTTGCGTTGCCAGAGAATCTTCGTGACATAATTGACCACCGCAGATAACGTTCTGATGGTCAACATTACTGTAATTCAACCCGCCTTTGACAATAAAAAAGACTGGTGGCCCTATTTTCATCAAATTGTTGACAGCTTGTAAATATTTGTATACGTAGGAGTCGCGAGGTAATGCTAATTCTTGATCTAAACCGACTTCTAACCCTGGAATCATGAGTACGCTACAAAATACCATAACCATAAACAGAACAGCTACAATAAACTTCACTCGCCAACGGAGAAGGAATTTAGCGTAAGGTTCCATCAACCTTTTGGTAATACTTTCGTAAGGGGCTTCAGAGTGTAGTGGATCATCATCATTTAAGATTTTTTTCTGAATACAACAAACAATATCAATCCTGTTTTGACTTTCGCGTTTGTAATTCATTGACAAAATAGCGATTACAGTAGTTATTTGGAATATAAATAGAAAACCCATTGAAAAAGTGGCAAATATGGCAAACGATCTAACCGCAGGAAAATTTGTTAACGTCCCAATAGCAAAACAGGTTATTTGAGTAATTGCTGTAACAAATATTGAAGGACCAACTTTACCCATCATTTTCATAAATATAAATTTTCTTTTACGATTGAAACTGAAATTCTCATTATAATCGCTATAGGATTTTAAGTTATTTTCTATGTCGTGTAATGTGTTTACCATTAAGAAAACATTATCAATGCCCACAGACAATACGAAAAATGGTATTACATTAATAGCAAGTAATGTCAATGTCACTTGTGCATAACCCATAACACCCATACCGCAGAAAACAGCCGCTACTACTACCAATATACTACCGACAGCTACTGTTACTTTACTATCAATCAACCACGTTTTGCAGTTTCTAACATTACCCAATGCAACTGTAACATAAGCAAACATAAGTACATAACTAATCGCTATGGGCACCGCTTCTGCTACAGACACGCGTTCAATTTCGTCTTCTATAGATCTTTCTGCACCATATGCAAGATCTATAAAATCTGGTTTCCTATTCATTTCATATTCTTGTAATAATTCTATTAATCTCAATTCCCATTCTAAAACTGGTGCAAGATTTTCCTCTAAAAGATGATTGGCTATAGGGAAATTAATTAGAAGTGTATTCGCATCATAAACGTTATCTTCATATCCTCCAAATGTGATTTCAGGTTCTGCACCTCCACCCCATGATGCCAAACAATCGAAAGAGTAGAAATTATTAAGACAATTTTGTATTGAATTTAAGTATGTTTCGTTGTTCAATTGGCCACCAAGATAGGTTACTGCAGACATGGAAACACATTGATCAAGTCTCTGTTCACCACCCCGAACTCGTAAGGGAGCATAACATACCTGTTCCAATGTAACACCACCTGTATCTCTCCCTATATTTAGAATTTCGTTTTCAAGGGACACCAGTTCCTCAATAGCTTCAAACCTAAAAGCTGGTCCATAAATATTGCCATCTACTTCAAATGGCTCTTTGTTTATTGTTAAAAACACTTGAGCAGCTCGATAGAAGGGACCAAATCGAGAGTTAAAGTACTCTAACTCGTGACGACTTCGAGATTCAGGTTCAGACCAAAGTTCCAAAGGTTTTGATGAAATTTTAAGATTCATTACACCAAAAGACATTCCAAATACAATCCAAGTAGTAATCATAATCATCAATAAGTGATGTGTAGAGGCCATCGAGCCTATATGTGAAAACACTGATTCAAATAGTCTAGTCATAATATTAGGTCGTATTACTTTTTCATTTTGTTTAGAGTCTGTCACTTTAATGTCTGAACGGGAGACAGCCATAAATGCAAATATGGCAATTGAAAGTATTAGGAATACTAATCCGACCGAGAAAGCTATACAATCTACAGAAAGTACTGTGCACCTTTCGGGAATAATTGGTTCATTTCCAACGGGGCACTGAGCCATACAATCTATGCAGCTGCAAGGAACGTCATCCAAATAAGACTCGTTACATGGTAATATGGGAGCGTTCATTGAATTATACTCCGTTGTAGTCTTCAAAAAGTTGATTTGAACAGGTGCCAAAGGATTCGTGGCAGTGTCACCGGTGAAACTGAACCAGGCTTGAGCATCACACACGGGTGCGTTACCACACATCATGTTAATGGCAGGTAATCCTGTTTGAGGGACAAGTACACCGGAGCATGCAGTGTAAGCGCCAAGCATAAAGTCCTCGTGAACTCTGTAATTTGCTTCATTTACATATGCCGTATCATTGGTCCCATATTCGATGCGTACTACTTCAACAAAACGGTCTTGGTCTGGAGAGCAGTTCATTTCACAAATTTGCCTGGCGAAATTCCTGACGCAAGATGGACATCGGCCTAGTACTCCATCAGCCATCAGTAGGTTATCAGCCATTTTTTCCAATTGTTTGTGATCGCAGCAAGTCATAACATCCCTGAACTCCTTCTCGTTTCCTTCATCATCGAGTAATATGTGTGGACACCTACGGCGAACTATAGCAAGGGTTTGTTCCATTTCCTCTTCATCTAAACCATCAAACAGAGATGAAGCTTCTTCGTCTACAGGACAAATTTTAGCGAAACCACCGACCTCGTAACATTCACCGCGCATCACACATTTTGCGTTCACTTCACTCCACAAACAGAGGATTAAAAATACACAGATATAACTAAAACTAAACTTCATCTTTTCCGCCATAATGAACTGCACCAGTAAACTATAAATTCATTGTACCTCTCCGACACTGTGGCTGGGTTTGTTAGATCGGTACAGACTAAATATAAAATGAACAAAGCAATTACAAATCTATTGATAAACAATATCATAAAATTAACACCTGCATGATATGCGATTAAGATAACAGTAGTGTAGATTAACGATTGGAATTTCGTCACTGAAAACTGAAACGTGAATAAAATTAAAGGGTGATGACTAAACGCAGGTGCGTTTGCTTCGACGCGACGCTTTTGGCCGCTCCCTCGGGAGATTTCGTCGCAAAACCACTTCCCCTTCTGTTCCGATACAGACATACATTTATTATGAGACAATAATCTGTAGAAGCACGTCTTGTATCAGTTGGTTTTAAAATAAATCATATAAACGACATTTTATTACACACAGTAAGCAAGTACTGCAGTCTGAGAATTTAAAAAAATCACTAAATTGGACAATTCATTATTAATATTAATCATAATCAACCCAATACTAAAAATAATTATTTACAGCTTCTTAATAAACATATTTTATTTTATGAAAACCCTTGTTGTAATGAAATAATAAATAAATAATATTAGCTGAAAATTATAAATCCCTTTTAAACTGAAAAGACTACCTATATAAAAATTCTAATTATTTTTCTTAATTTAATAGTATGTAATATATAAATATAGTAAAAGTAGAATACTGGATTCTGTGTGCGTTAAAATATTGTCTAAATAATATAAATATGTACCTATTTAGTAAATAAGACAGAACTACGTGCCTGCAGACAAACCCCGACAGGAGTTTTGCATGATAGTAAATGTAAGCTTAAAATTGAAAAAAATTATCTTTTTAATCATCTATCGCCGCGGGATCGATTCCTCGCAGGGTGCAAACATTTATATTCGGTTTCTATGTATATTATGTATGTATTTACAAAAAAATGTCTAAGTATTTATATCACTGGTCTGATACCCATAACACAAGCACTGCTTACCGTGAGACTAGATGGCGCTGTGTTGATTGTCAGGGTTATTTACTTATTATTATTATTAGAAAAGCACTAAATGTGGACTGTATATAAAATAAAATTATCATTAATATTATAAGAGCACTAATAATTAAGTAGACTCTATTATAATAAAAAATACCTACTAGTTAAATAGGTTTATAAGTACTACAACCAAGTACGAACAGAGATGCGGCTTCAGATCGTAATTGTTGAAGTAATTTCGTCTTGAATCAGTCGGGGGTGTAATAGAGTTGTAAACGAATTCGTCGGCTTAACAAGATCAACACGTGCTCCTAACCAAAAGCAAGGGTAGGTGCTTGTTTTGTTAAAAAATACCCCGCATGTGTTGAGAAACTGTTTTAGTATAAAGTTTATTTTTCTATTCTCTAATCAGAATAAAAAATTATCAATTTATATAACATATTTTTAAGTTATAAGTTTCATCAAAAAAGACGTTTGATTTCAAACGTCCATACATAAGTAACAAACGTACATACATCTATCCATCCATACTCAAGCATGTTATAAGGAATAACATAGACTACTTTTATTTCATAAAATTTATATCTTATCTTAGTAATATTATAAACGCGAAATTTTGAGTATGGAGGTTTGTTACTCTTTCGCACAATAACTACTGAACGGATTTTGTTGAAACTTTACAGTAATATAGTTTATGCATCAGAATAACATATATAGGCTACATTTATTGTCGAAATTTAAGACGGATGAAACCGCAGGCTGTAGCAGCTAGTATTTAAATAAATCCAAAAATTTAAATTATGAAGAGATGAATTTGAAGTCGCGGTTAAATTAGCTAGTTTCGTAAAGTAACTTTTTATTTGATATGATAATTGTTTTAGATACGTAGAAGATATGTTCATTGACAATAGAAGAAATGTAAACTTCCACTCGGACGAAGTCGTAACGTCTAATATTGAATATGACCTTATCTTGTTAAGGTTATAAATCGTGTGGTCCCACAGTAACCAAATGTATATTAACCGTGATGATATCATTATCATCACAGTATGCAGTTGATGACAGGTCACGTGCCTTCAGATCGATGGCTACGAATTACTGTCCAGGGAAATCAGATGCTTGTAATTGATATCGAACCGTGGGGCGGTGACCCTCCCACAGCGGTGATAATGAGGGGAACCGTTTTTTAATAGCGTGAAGGGATGATCATGGCGGGAACTAATGATGATTAAATTTGTAATCAAGTTTAAAATGATCGGAAAATTCTAAGTCAAGGGTGTATAAAGAAATGGGCCAAGTTTGTTGACCATCGGGGGTCAAGAATAAAATATTGCTAATTTATTTATAAATATTGTAAACTTATTCTTTTCTTTATATGTTAAATAGCTACTCGCCCCGGCTTCGCCTGGGTGTACATGAACATGTATTATATATATAAACCTTCCTCTAGAATCACTCTATCTATTAAAAAAACCGCTTCAAAATCCGTTGCGTAGTTTTAAAGATTTAAATATACATAGGGACGGACAGACAGCGAGAGTGACTTTATTTTATACTATATAATATTATTTGATATATATATATATATATATATATATATATATATATATATATATATATATATATATATATATATACTTAGGTTTGGAAGAGAAAAATATTACGGCGAACACAAATAAATGGGATAAGGAAGAAGCTGATGACTTAGATTTAGAAAATTTTTACCTAATTCGTATAAGTATTATTAACGCCTAATAATAAGATTATTATTATATATATATTATACACACATTTAATGTAATTATAATCATTACTATAATTGTATTTTTTATTTATGTATATTATGACTTTATTAGGAAGTTTTTGTCAATAAACAAACTATAATATAGATACAAATATATACTTGCAGTTCCCAAATTTTGTGTAAATAAAGTTAATAGGTTATGGGAATGAGTATATATTTTGGATTTACCTGTTTAAAAATGTATATAAAATAATTACTTATTAAATAAAGCATATTAGGTATTCCGGTAGTTGATCAGGTAACGGATTTTATATTTTGTAACTGGTAAAAATAAAAAAAAATGTAAAAGTTGAGTTACTTACTCAACTGAAGTAGATAGCTGAATGATGAATATGACATACACAAGAGGCCGAAAGGTCCCATGTTACAATTAATTTTAAGTTTGAGTATTACAACGAATTTTAACCTTTAACGATTATAATTAATTCAGATTACATTATTTACAAAAAAACTTGACGTTCTATAACCGGCTAAAATGTGCTACATGAATAAATGATTTTTTTATTTGAATTTTTTCATTTTTATCTTCCAGTGTTGCCACGCCAGTATGCCGTCTGTTTTGACGGGGTCACCACCACGCATCATGCATCATAAAATAAATTTGCTCATTGTGAACATTTTAGGGACCAGAGGAAATAAATGGACATACAGACTGTCTTGCTCTGCAACTACAAGTCTTTAGAAACTGGTAACCAGTGGCACTCAATGAGGAAGTAGCCATTATTATTGCTAAAAGTTGCATATAGATGGCGTGATTGGTATCGATGGAATTCTTCATAGTTTTGCAAACGTTTTAAAAAACAAAACTGTGTTTTCAAAAATGTTTAATCAATTTTTAAAAAGTTATATATACATGTTAAAATGAAATAATGCGTTTAGAAAAGTAATTTTCATATATTTACTCATTTTGTTATTTTCCAGTACTTAATTACACTTTAATCAGTGCTAATACGGGGCTCAATGTTTTCAAAATGCTTTCATAGATGGCATTGTCGTCATTTGTATCGGCCTAATTAAATGTCTTTTTTATATTTTCCAATAATAAGCACTTAATATATTATTATTGTAAATTAAACATATAAAATTTTTTTAAGTAAATTAAAACTAGCCGAACAAGCATGTAATACTATTTCCAATAATACTTATGTATGAAGTGTTGTCATATTAAAAATAAATACATGTATTAATGATTTTTTTGAATAATCGATAGCAGGATTTTATTACAGCGCATTATTCGATGATGCTTTTAATGAGTCGTTGTGAACAGTAAATTTTCATTATTTTGTATTATAGCAGTGTTCCGTTTCAAAGAACGGAATATAGTAGTACATTATTAGTGTCGTTGGTTATTTACATTTGTACTGAAAAATCGATTACATAATAATTTAAAATATCGAGTATGAATCGTAGCTGTCTTCGAATACTGGCAACTGGTAAGATTAAAATAGTATTTAAAAAAAAAAGAGAGAAATCGACCCTAACTCGAATACCATAAAGTTGATTTTCCTTTCTCATTAATATCATAGCAGTTTGTTTCTAGCTTGCGTATGACTCTGTGGTATGATGTTTAACGTGTATTGTTATTGTACGGTGCATACATTTCAAAAATTATATTTTAATGTAGGTACATACATTTCTTTCATACATTTCAAACATTTCAAAAATGAACTCTTTATGTAGGTACATACATTTCTTTCATACATCTCATACATTTCAAAAATTATATTTTAATGTAGGTACATACATTTCATACATGTCAAAAATTATCTTCTAATGTAGGTACATACATTTCATACATTTCAAAAATGAACTTTTTATGTAGGTACATACATTTCTTTCATACATTTCAAAAATTATCTTTTAATGTAGGTACATAACACCCCATGTCAGACCCCTTGTATTTGGAAGAAACTTAAAAATAATGCCAAAAATATTAGATGAATATATTTTTAATACGAATATTGTTTTATTTTTGTTCATCAACTTTATCCCTCACTAACAATACTAGTAGTAGTACATAACCTGGTTTATACCGCTAAAGATATTGAAAGATATACGAGTAATTCAGAATGTTATCAAGTTCAAAATAAGCACACATTACTTGCTTAGATAACAGAGTAATATTACTCGTAATAAAAACATTTGTAACACCTATATGTATACTACGTATGTATAGTAAGTACTTACGCTGCGGCGCCGTGAGACTCGTCTACATCTACTCATCTACGCGCGGTAACCGCGCCGACCGACCAATAG